GAGGAGCCCAGGGGAGGGAGGAGCCCACAGGGGGGGAGAGCGCCAGGGGAGGGAGGAGCCAGGGGAGGGAGGAGCCCCCAGGGGAGGGAGGAGCCCAGGGGAGGGAGGAAGCCAGGGGAGGGAGGAGCCCCAGGGGAGGGAGGAGCCCACGGGGGGGGAGGAGCCCGGGAGGGAGGAGCCCAGGGGAGGGAGGAGCCCAGGTGAGGAGGGAGCCCAGGGGAGAGGGAGGAGCCAGGGGAGGGAGGAGCCACATGGGAGGGGAGGAGCCCACAGGGGAGGGAGGAGCCCAGGGGAGGGAGGAGCCCAGGGGAGGAGGAGCCCAGGGGAGGGAGGAGCCACGGGGAGGGAGGAGCCCACAGGGGAGGGAGGAGCCCAGGGAGGGAAGAGCCAGGGGGGGAGGAGCCCAGGGGAGGAGGAGCCACAGGGGCGGGAGGAGCCCACAGGGGAGGGAGGAGCCCACAGGGGAGGGAGGAGCCCACAGGGGAGGGAGGAGCCCACGGGGGAGGGAGGAGCCCAGGGGAGGGAGGAGCCCAGGGGAGGGAGGAGCCCACAGGGGAGGGAGGAGCCCTGGGGAGGGGAGGAGCCAGGGAGAGGGAGGAGCCCAGGGGAGGTAGGAGCCCACAGGGGGGGGAGGAGCCCACAGGGGAGGGAGGAGCCCAGGGGAGGGAGGAGCCCACAGGGGAGGGAGGAGCCCAGGGGGGGGAGGAGCCCAGGGGAGGGAGGAGCCCAGGGGAGGAGAGCCCACAGGGGAGGGAGGAGCCCACAGGGGAGGGAGGAGCCCAGGGGAGGGAGGAGCCCAGGGGAGGGAGGAGCCCAGGGGAGGGAGGAGCCCACAGGGGAGGGAGGAGCCCACAGGGGAGGGAGGAGCCCAGGGGAGGGAAGAGCCCAGGGGGGGGAGGAGCCCAGGGGAGGGAGGAGCCCACAGGGAGGAGGAGCCCACAGGGAGGGAGGAGCCCACAGGGGAGGGAGGAGCCCAGGGGAGGGAGGAGCCCACAGGGGAGGGGGAGCCCAGGGGGGGGAGGAGCCCACAGGGGAGGGAGGAGCCCAGGGGAGGGAGAGCCCACAGGGGAGGAGGAGCCCACAGGGGAGGGAGGAGCCAGGGAGGAGGAGCCCACAGGGGAGGGAGGAGCCCAGGGGAGGGAGGAGCCCAGGGGGAGGAGGAGCCAGGGAGGGAGGAGCAGGGGGAGGAGCCCAGGGGGGAGGAGCCCAGGGGGGAGGAGCCCAGGGGAGGGAGGCGCCCAGGGGAGGGAGGAGCCCACAGGGGAGGGAGGAGCCCAGGGGGGGAGGAGCCCAGGGGGGAGGCGCCCAGGGGAGGGAGGAGCCCACAGGGAGGGAGGAGCCCAGGGGAGGAGGAGCCCAGGGGGAGGTACCCAGGGGAGGGAGGAGCCCAGGGGGAGGTGCCCAGGGGGTACGCGCCAGGGGGGAGGTGCCCAGGGGGAGGCGCCCAGGGGGGGAGGAGCCCACAGGGGAGGGAGGCGCCCAGGGGGAGGCGTTCCAGGGGAGGAGGCGCCCAGGGGGAGGCGCCCAGGGGGGGGGGGGCCCACAGGGGAGGGAGGCGCCCAGGGGGGAGGCGTCCAGGGGAGGGAGGAGCCCAGGGGGGAGGTACCCAGGGGAGGGAGGAGCCCAGGGGGGAGGTGCCCAGGGGGTACGCGCCCAGGGGGGAGGTGCCCAGGGGGGAGGCGCCCAGGGGGGGAGGAGCCCACAGGGGAGGGAGGCGCCCAGGGGGGAGGCGTCCAGGGGAGGGAGGCACCCAGGGGGGAGGCGCCCAGGGGGGAGGAGCCCACAGGGGAGGGAGGCGCCCAGGGGGGAGGCGTCCAGGGGAGGGAGGCGCCCAGGGGGGAGGCGCCCAGGGGGGAGGCGCCCAGGGGGGAGGCGCCCAGGGGAGGGCCCCGGAGCAGGGTGGGGCCCTGAGGGCTCCCGCCCGCCCGGAGAGCCTCACAGCCCCCGTGCCCGCAGAGGCGGGCGTGGGCCTGGGCGTCGGGCTGTGCAGCGTGCCCGGCCTGCAGCGCCTGTCCGGCGTCTTCGTGCACACGCTGTCCCCCGGCTCCGTGGCGCACCTGGACGGCCGCCTGCGGTAGGTCCGGGCTTGGGGCGGCCGAGGGGTCCCCCGGGCTGGGGGGCGGGGACGCAGGGGCGCAGGAGGTGCTCGGGAGGACCCAGAGGAGAAAGAGGAGGAGGGGGAGAAGGAGGAGGGGAAGAGAGGAGGAGGGGGGAGGAGGAGGAGGGAGGGGGAGGAGGAGGGGGAGAGAGAGTGGAGGGGGAGGAGGGGGCGAGTGAGGGAGGAGGAGGGGGAGGAGGGGGAGGGGGAGGGGGAGGAGGGGGAGAGAGAGAGAGTGAGGGAGGAGGAGGGGGAGGGGGGGAGGAGGGGGAGGGGAAGGAGATGGAGGAGGAGGAGATGGAGATTGAGGAGGAGGAGGAGGAGGACATGGAGGAGGGGGAGGAGGAGGAGGAGGACATGGAGGAGGACATGGAGGAGGAGGAAGATGAGGAGGATATGGAGGAGGAGGAGGAGGGAGAGGAGAGGGAGGAGGAGGGTAAAGAGGAGGAAAAGGAGAGAGACAGAGGAGGAGGGGAGGAGGAGGAGGAGGAGGAGGGGGAGAGAGAGTGAGGGAGGAGGGGGGGTAGGGGGAGGAGGGGGCGGTGGAATCAAACCCAGGACCCTTCAGTCCAGAGGCTACGCTCCATGCACCAAGCCAAGCCGGCCAGGGTGGCGTAACTTTTTAACGATTTTATTTCATCAACCAGAGGCCCCGTGCATCCCTCCGGGCCCCGATCCTGCACCGGCGGGCCTCGCCTGGCCCGCGCCCGCTCTCGTTCCGGGCTGCGGGCGCCCCCTGCGGGCGAGGATTCCGTCTCTGGCCCCTGGCTGTCGCTGAGGCTGCACGGCCGCGGGCTGCATGCAGTCTATTCCCTCGCGTCGGCGGCCGCGGCTGCTCGGACGTCCCCCCAGGACTGGCTCCGCGGGCCATGAGGCTCCGTCCTTTCCGTTTTGGGGTTCACTCCGTGCTGCCCGCCCCTCGCCGGGGCCCCCCGCAGGTGCGGTGACGAGATTGTGGAGATCAACGCCGCCCCCGTGGCCTGCATGACGCTGGGCGCCGCGCACGCCGCCCTGAGCCGCTGCGAGCCGGGGCCCGTGCCCATCCTGGTCAGCCGGCACCCGGACCCGCAGGTACCCGGCTCGCCGGCCGCCCGGCCGCGCCGACACCGGGGGGGGGCGGGGGGGCTCCCGGGGCCGCCTCGGCGCTCCGGGCGGGAGCACGCCCACGGCGCCGCCGTCTCTGAGGCACGGCAGCCAGTTAGCAAATCCCCTCCGATTGGCCGTGGGCACCGCCGCCTTTGTGAGGGCGTGAGGGTCAATTAGCATATCCCCTCTCTTATTGGCTGTGGGCACTGCAACCTTTGTGATGGCGTGAGGGTCAATTAGCAAATCCCCTCCGATTGGCCGTGGGCGCCGCCGTCTCTGAGGGCGTGAGCGTCAATTAGCATATCCCCTCCTTATTGGCCGTGGGCACCGCCGCCTTTGTGAGGGCGTGAGGGTCAATTAGCATATCCCCTCCTTATTGGCCGTGGGCACCGCCGCCTTTGTGAGGGCGTGAGGGTCAATTAGCATATCCCCTCCTTATTGGCCGTGGGCACCGCCGCCTTTGTGAGGGCGTGAGGGTCAATTAGCATATCCCCTCTCTTATTGGCTGTGGGCACTGCAACCTTGTGATGGCGTGAGGGTCAATTAGCAAATCCCCTCCTTATTGGCCATGGGCGCCACTGTCTTTGTGATGGCGTGAGGGTCACTTAGCATATCCCCTCTTTATTGGGTGTGGGGACCACCATCTTTGTGATGGCGTGAGGGTCACTTAGCATACTCCCTCTTTATTAAATAGGATTGATTTCAACTCCAGACACCAGGGCTGGTGGCTCTGGGGCAGAAGGCAGCCAGGACGGGCGGTGCAGGGGTGGCTCCTGCAGCTGGAGGACAGGCCCTGGGGAAGGAAACACTGACCGGGCCCCGATAGGGGGTGAGAGAGAGCCCTCTGGCCCCACCCCCAGGCCAGGATGGGCATGTGGGCTGCTTCCAGAACTCAGCTGTCCTATATCATAAAAGCCTAATGAGCTAAGTGACTGGTCAACCAGTCGGCCATTCAACCAGTCAAAGAGTAATATGCTAATGATATGCTCAGGTCCCTGAACCACTTGCTATGATGTGCACGGACCACCAGGGGGCAGACAGTTGACTGGTTAATCAGTCGCTATGATGTCCACTGACCACCAGGGGGCAGACAGTTGGCTGGTTAATCAGTCGCTATGATGTCCACTGACCACCAGGGGGCAGACAGTTGACTGGTTAATCAGTCGCTATGACGTGACCACCAGGGGGCGGTGAACACGCATCACAATATAGAGATGACATGTCATAATCTAAAGGTGTGGGTTTATTCTGTCCCATTGATCTGTATGTCTTTTTTATGCCAGTACCAGGCTGTTTTGATTGCTATACCCTTGTAGAATTGTCTGATATCAAGCAGCGTGATCCCTCCAACTTTGTTCTTCTTTCTCAAGATCGCTGTAGCTCTTCAGTGTCTTTTGTGGTTCCATGTAAATTTTTGGAGTATTTGTTCTAGTTCTGTGAAGTGTGCCATTGGTATCTTGATAGGAATTATGCTGAACGTATAGATTGCTTTGGGTCGTATGGACATTTTAATGATGGTAATTCTTCGCGTCCATGAACATGGTATACACTTCCCGTCCATGAACATGGTATACACTTCCCATCCATGAACATGGTATACACTTCCCATCCATGAACATGGTATATTCTTCCACTTGGTTGTATCTTCTTTGGCTTCTTTCTTCAGGGTTTTATAATTTTCTGAGCACAGGTCTTTTGCATCCTCAGCTCAATTTATTCCAGAGTATGTGTGGTGTGTGTGTGTGTGTGTGTGTGTGTGTGTGTGATTGTAAATGGAATTGTTTTCTTAATTTCCCTTTCTGATAGTTTATTATTGGTGGATAGAAATGCAACTGACCTCCGTACGTTTATATTTTCTAGCCTGCTACTTTACTGAATTAATTGATCAATCCTAGGAGTGTTTTGGTGGAGTCTTTAGAGTTCTCTGCCTACAGTGTCATGTCATCGGCGAATAATGACAGTTTTACTTTCTCCTTTCCAATTTGGATAAGTTTGTTTGTTCTTCCTTGTCTCGTCACCGTGGCTAGGACACCGAGTACCATGTTGAACAAGAGTGGTGAAAGCGGACATCCTGTCCTGTTCCCGTTCTTAGGGGAAATGCTTCTGGTTTTTGCGCATTGAGTAAGACGTTGGCTGTACGTTTGACATACGTGTCCTTTCTTATGTTGGGGTGTGTCCCCTCTGTTCGCATTTTGCTGAGAGTTTTTATCAAAAACTAGAGGCCCAGTGCATGAATTCATGCACCAGTGGAGCCCCTCGGCCTGGCCTGTGGGACGGAGCCAAAACCGGCTCTCCGACACCCCCCGAGGGGTCCCAGATTGGGAGAGGGTGCAGGCCAGGCCGAGAGATCCCACTGGTGCACAATCAGGGCGGGGGAGGGAGGCTGGAGTTTGGCCAGCCAGGGAGGGACCAAGGGAGGGATCCAGGCGTGTCTAGCCCTTCTCATCCAGTCCCAATCATCCGGACCCCAGCAGCAAACTAACCTACTGGTCGGAGCGTCTGCCCCCTGGTGGTCAGTGCACATCATAGCGAGCAGTTGAGTGGCCTTAGCATGTCATTAGCATATCACACGTTGATTGGTTGAACAGCCAGCCAGATGACCGGACACTTAGCATAGTAGGCTTTTATGATACAGGACTAGAGGCCCGAGGCATGATATTCATGCAGGAATGGGCCTGCCTTCCCCTGGCGTCACTCCCAGCCGCCCGGCAGTCTGCAAGTCCTCGCTGCCGGCCAGAGCACCACTCCTGCAGCTCCCTCCACTGCCCTCCCTCCCCCTCAGCAGGTGTCCTGCTCGTCCCGGCCACTCCAACCTGCACATGCAAATTAACCCGCCATGTTTGCCGGTTTAATTTGCATACTCGCTCCTGATTGGCTGTGGCGGAGGTACGGGGTGGGGTGGGGCGGGGAGTGGGGGGCCAGGACTGGCCGGGAGCCGGCGCCCGCTGCCGTGGCCCGTGCGGCTCAGTGAGTGGCGCTTCCCCAGGTCTCGGAGCAGCAGCTCAAGGCGGCCGTGGCCCAGGCCACCGACGGCCTCTGGGCCGGGCGGGAGCGGCCCCCCTGGAGCCCGGAAGGTGAGGGTGTCCACGGAGCGGGCGGGGGGGGGGGGGCGGTGAGGATCCCTGACCGCGGGCCTGCCCGGCCCTCCGTGTGCGTGTGCGTGTGCGTGTGCCTGTGCGTGTGTGTGTGAGAGTGCATGTCTGTGTGTGTGTGTGCACATATGTCTGTGCATGTGTGTCTGTGTGTGAGTGTGCGTGTCTGTATGTATGCATGTGTGTGTGTATGTCTGTGCATGTGTGTGTATATGTATGTGAGTCTGTGTGTGTGTGTGTGTTAGAGGCCTGATGCATGCATTCGTGCATGGGTGGGGTCTGGCCAGCCTGGGGGAGGGGACATGGGCGGTTGGCCGGCCTGCCTGCTGGTCGGACTCCTGGTCAAGGGGACCATTTGCATATGAGCCTTTTATTCTATAGGTCAGACACGGAGTGGCCGGATGATCATGTGTTCAGGGGGGTGGGGTGCTGGCTGTGGGGTACAGGGTGCAGGCTGCGGGGTACAGGGTGCAGGCTGCGGGGTACAGGGTGCTGGCTGTGGGGGTACAGGGTGTGGTCCCAGGTTGGGTTCAGCTCGCCCCCCCCCCCCGCAGGCGCCGTGCGGCCGGAGGGCAGCTGGCACGGGCGGCCGGCCGAGCGGGCCGGGCGGGGCTCGGCGCCCCCGCAGCGCCGCCCGCAGGCCATGGTGCGCTCCAGCAGCGACGGCGGCTGCGCGTGCGGGTCCCCGGGGGAGAGCCCGCCGGCCCGGACGGTGCTGGTGAGGAGGCCCGCGGCCGCCAGGCCCCCGCCCCCGCCCCGGAGGAGCTGCAGGGCCGACCCCGCGGCCCCCGCCCCGGTGAGCCAGACTGGCCTGTTGGTTTGGGGGAGCCCAGGGAGCCCCGGGCTTGAGGGGCTTGGGAAACGGCAGCGGGAGGTGAGGGCTGAAGGGCGAGCGGGGAGCCCGGGGAGGGGGGTGTGGGGGGGAGGGCGCAGCAGCCTCTGCAGAGCTGGGTGCACCCGAGCTCATCCGAGCCCACCCGAACCCGCCCCAGCCCACCCGAGCCCACCCGAACCCACCCGAGTCCACCCGAGCTCACCCGACCCCACCCGACCTCACCCGAGCCCACCCGAGCTCACCCGAACCCTCCCGAGCTCACCCGAGCCCACCCGAGCTCACCCAAACCCACCCGAGCCCACCTGAGCGCACCCGAGCCCACCCGAGCTCACCCGAACCCACCCGAGCTCACCCGAGCCCACCCGAGTGTATCCGAACCCACCCGAGCGCACCCGAGCTCACCCGAGCACACCGAACCCACCAGAGCACACCCGAGCTCACCCGAGCCCACCCGAACCCACCCGAGCGCACCCGAGCTTACCCGAGCACACCCGAACCCACCAGAGCACACCCGAGCTCACCCGAGCCCACCCGAACCCACCCGAACCCACCCGAGCGCACCCGAGCTCACCCGAGCTCACCCGAGCCCACCCGAACCCACCCGAGCCCACCCGACCCCACCCGACCTCACCCGAGCCCACCCGAGCACACCCGAACCCACCCGAGCGCACCCGAGCTCACCGAGCGCATCCGAACCCACCTGAGCGCACCTGAGCTCACCCAAGGTCACCCAGGGGAGAGGGCCGGCGGGCACAGGAGCAGGTGCAGACGGGGTGACTGAGCATTCACACGTCAAACCTTATGGTGTGGCGAACCATGTCCGCGCGGTGCACGCGATGAACATGCGGGCATTTATTCCTGCCCGGCCGGCCTCCGTACTGCGGTCACGTCAGGAATGACCGGGAAGTGTGGGTCTGACCCCGTCGTGCAAGCACGTTCCCCATACGTTTCTTTCTTTATTTCTATTTATTTATTTATTATCTTTTAAATATATTTGATTGATATTTTTTACAGAGAGGAAGGAAGAGAGAGGGATAGAGAGCTAGAAACGTCAATGAGAGAGAATCATCGTCCAGCTGCCTCCTGCACGCCCCCCACTGGGGATGTGCCCACAACCAAGGTCCATGCCCTTGACCGGAATCGAACCCGGGACCCTTCGGTCCGCAGGCCGACGCTCTATCCACTGAGCCACATCAGTCAGGGCCCCATACATTTCTTTAGATCCTGCTATTTCTGCCACAAGGATGAGTGTGTAAAGACCACTTTTGGCCCTGGGTGGTGTGGCTCAGTGGATAGAGCGTCGGCCTGTGGACTGAAGGGTCCCGGGTTCGATTCCGGTCAAGGGCATGTGCCCTGGCTGCGGGCACATCCCCAGTGGGGGAGCGTGCAGGAGGCAGCTGACCGATGTGTCTCTCTCATCGATGTTTCTCTCTCCCTCTCCCTTCCTCTCTGTAAACAATCAATAAAATATATTTTTTTAAAAATACTACTTTGTTTTCTATAAAAAAAATAGCATAAAACACCCCGATACAACCAGAGGCCGGGCTCAGGATGCCCGCAGGGGTGAGGCGTGAGGCCGGGTGCCCACAGCACCTGGTACCCGGCTCACCCACCGGGCGCTGGGACTTCCCGCCGGGCCGCCCCTCGCTCGCCTCCTGCCCCTCAGCTCTCGCTTCTCGCACCCGGAGGCCACCGTTCTGACACCGTCCGCTTCCTGTTTACGCCACAGGAAGCAAGCCGGCTGCTGCCACCGCTGCTGCCTCCGCCGCAGGAAGTCCCGGCGGCCGGAGTGCCCCCTGCCCTCGCCCGCTGCCCCGGACCCCAGGGCGGCCTGCAGCCGGCGGGCCCCGAGGTGGCCGGGCCGGGGAGCCGAGGCGGCGGCCCAGGTAGGACGGGGCGCCCCCAGCAGGGGGGCCTGCAGAGGCCACAGAGCGGGGACCCGGTGGGACCCGGGACCCACCACCTGCAGGTGGCGATGGGGGAGGCGGGCGGGCGGGCGGGCGGGCGGGGAGGCAGGAGCCATGGGGTGGAGGCAGCGGGCACCTGGGTACCATCAGGGTGGGGGCCTCCTGTCTGGGTGGGTGACCTGGGGTGTCTGCTGGGTGATCGGGGTGTCTGTATGGGTGATTGGGGTGTTTGTGTGGGTGATCGGGGTGTCTGCTGGGTGATCGAGGTGTCTGCTGGGTGATCGGGGTCTGTATGGGTGATCGGGGTGTCTGCTGGGTGATCGGGGTGTCTGTATGGGTGATCGGGGTGTCTGCTGGGTGATTGGGGTGTCTGTTGGGTGATCGGGGTCTGTATGGGTGATTGGGGTGTCTGCTGGGTGATTGGGGTGTCTGCTGGGTGATCGGGGTGTCTGTTGGGTGATCAGGGTGTCTGTATGGGTGATCGGGGTGTCTGCTGGGTGATTGGGGTGTCTGCTGGGTGATCGGGGTGTCTGCTGGGTGATCGGGGTCTGTGTGGGTGATCGGGGTGTCTGCTGGGTGATCGGGGTCTGTGTGGGTGATTGGGGTGTCTGCTGGGTGATTGGGGGGTGTCTGCTGGGTGATTGGGGTGTCTGCTGGGTGGTCGGGGTGTCTGCTGGGTGATTGGGGGGTGTCTGCTGGGTGATGTGGGTTCCAGGGGAGGAAGGTGGTGAGCACGTGGCTAACGGGACCCAGCCAGGGCAGGGGGGCAGGGGGGCAGGGGAGAGGCAGGTCAGGGAGTGAGTTCCTGGGGACGCGTGCAGACCTGGTGCCCGAGAGCCAGGAAGATGGGGGTGTGGCCTGCGGGGCAGGACCAGGGGGTCCCCCTGAGTGGAGAGGCCTCCTGCCCACGGGGTCCCCCTCCTGCCCACGGGGTCCCTCAATCTGCCCACCGAGCCCCCTCCTGCCCCCGCCCATGGGGTCCCCCTTTCGGCTCACGGGATCCCCCAATCTGCCCATGGGGTCCCCCTCCTGCCCCTCCTCCGCCTCCCTGACCCCCCCAGAAGCCAGGCCTCCGGGGGCCCCTGGGCAGGCGCCCCCAAACACCCCCCCATTTCTGTCCGCAGGGACCCCGCCGCCCCCCGCACGGCCCCCCGCGGGCGCGGAGGACCCCTGGGTGCGGATCTCCGGCTGTATCCGGAGCCTCTTCAGCCCCGGCATGAGCGAAGGCCCCGGCCCCGGCCAAGGTCACGGCCACGGCCCCCCCCAGGCCGGGTCCCCAGGCCCCGCGGACGGCGCCCCCGGGCCCCTGGACATTGGCCCCAGGGCTCCCCCAATGGGCAGCGGCGCCGTGAAGAAGGGGCCCCCCGTCGCCCCCAAACCCGCCTGGTTCCGCCAGAGCCTGCGGAGGCTGCGGGCCCAGGGCCCGGACCCCGGGGAACCCCCCGCCGCAGCCTCCGGGGAACCCCCCGCAGCCGCCTCCAGGTCCCTCAGCTCCATCCGCCACAGAATCAGCTCCTTTGAGACCTTGGGGTGCTCCCCGCCGCCCCCCCAGGCCGCCCCGAGACCCTGCCTGCAGCCCCCCCGGCCCCAGGTCGAGGCCCCCGAGCCCCCCGTGGGACAGGGAGGCAGGGGGCCCGGCCTCGGTGGCCCAGGGGCGCCCCCCGCCTCGGAGCAGCGGGCCCCCGGGGACGGGGGTGCAGGGGGGACCCCGGCCCCCCCGGAGCTCCAGCCCCCCGGGCGGCGGGCCCGCAGCCTCCCGCTGAGCCGCGCGCGCTCCCTGGACGCGGACACGGGGGACGGGACCTGCCGGCTCCGTGCGCTCAGCGGCCGCGTGTCCTGCGCCGTCCTGCGCTCCCTGCTGGGCCGCCCGGCCTCCGCCCCCGGCAGCCCCCGCGGCCGCGCGCCTGCAGAGGCCTCCCCAGGCCCGGACCCGGACCCCGCCGCCGGCAGCACGGACTCCGGGTTCTCTCTCAAGTAAGGGCGCCCCCCACTCTGCTCCCCCCCCTCCTGTCCTTGTGCACGGCTGTATGTGTGTGCACAACTGCATGTGTGTGCACACATGTGCACACACCAGTGCTTTGTGTGCATCACATATGCATGTGCATGCACATTTGTGTGTTCATAAATAGACATGCATGTGTGTCCACGCACATGTATACACACACGGGTGTGCATGCACGTATACATGTATATGTATGCTCGTATGAGCACTTTGCACGCATATGTGCATGTGTGTGCACATGAATGCAGTGTGTGCACACACTGTGTATATACATGCATGCAAATGTATGCACATACATGAACACATGCATGGGTGTGTGCACGTGCTTGCATGTATGTGCTGTGTTAGCACTTTGTATGCATATGTGTGCCTGTGTGAGCACACATGTGTGCTTGTGAGTGCTGTATGTGCGTGCACATGCGTGTGCATGCATGTGCGTGTGTGCTTGGGGGGAGGGGCAGCACAGCCTCCCTGCTGAGGAAGTGTTGCCCCAGGGCAGGCCGGGAGGGCTGGAGGCAGCTCAGATGCCCCCCTCAGGGACACACACGTCCCTCACCTGCCCAGGATGCCCGGGCGGCCAGGGGTGCCCCTGGGGTTCCTGCTGTCCCTGCACAGGGGCTCCTCCCCTGGACGGGAGGTCATGACCCCTGCCCGCCCTCACCGGCCTCACGCAGGCTCCTCCCGGGTCACATGAGCCAGTGGCCACGCTGACCCCAGAGCTGGGCGGCCCCACTCACTCCGCCCTCCTTGGCGGGGACTCTGCGCTCCCCAACTTCCTTCATTCTCCCCTCCCCCCCGTCACAGACAGCGCTGTGTGCAGGCCTGGCGGGGGGGGGGGGGTGGGACCAAGCCCCCCCCAGCCTGGCAGGGACGCCCCTGTAGGGAGTGAGCTGAACCCCCAATGGCCGGCTGGGGGCACCCCTGTACTGAGTGAGCCCCCCGATGGCCGGCTGGGGCACCCCTGTACTGAGTGAGCCCCCCGATGGCCGGCTGGGGCACCCCTGTACTGAGTGAGCCCCCGATGGCCGGCTGGGGCACCCCTGTGCTGAGTGAGCCCCCGATGGCCGGCTGGGGCACCCCTGTAGTGACTGTGCTGAGCCCCGTTGGCCCACGAGTGGCCCGCTGTCCCTGAACCCCCACCTGGCCACCAGGGAGGTGTCTGAGGGCCCCCTCAAAAGAGCAGGCTTGTTGCCATGGCAACAGGACCCGCCCAGGCTCAGCGCCCGGTCTGGCCTGGGGGAGCCCCTGACCCCCCTGTCCCCCCCCCCCGCAGCCTCTCGGAGTTGAGGGGGTACTCGGAGGGCCTGGGGGAGCCCCTGACCCCCTGTCCCCCCCCCCGCAGCCTCTCGGAGCTGAGGGGGTACTCGGAGGGCCTGGGGGAGCCCCTGACCCCCCTGTCCCCCCCCGCAGCCTCTCGGAGCTGAGGGGGTACTCGGAGGGCCTGGGGGAGCTCGGGGAGCCCCCGGAGGCCACGGCCTGCAGCCCCGCGGCCGGCCAGGCGGTGCTGGCGCTGCTGAGCGCGGAGGAGCTGCGGGAGCTGCTGGAGGAGGTGCAGGAGCTGGACGCCGCCGCGCTGCAGGTGGGCGCCCCCGTCCCATTGGGGACGCAGCCTGGGGGGGAACTGGAGGGGGGCTGGGGGGGCCGGGCTGGGGGTGCAGCTCATGCAGAGCTCTCCCGCTTGATCCCTGAGCAGAGGCGAGGCTCCGGCTGCAGAGCCCGCTCCGCTCGGCGGGGCCCCTTCCTGTCCCAGGGCCCCTCTCCCCACCCCTGCACGTCTTGAGCTCCCACGGGGCCTCCTCCCCTGCACCCCAGGGGCCTCCCAGCCCCTGAAAGTCCCGCTTCCCACGCGCTTTCTGGTCGCCGGTGGCCACAGAGGCAGGCCCGGGTGGGGGGTAGGCGGTGGGGGGCGGGGGGTGCACCCCGGGGTGAGAGCTGTAGCCCAGGTCAGGAACCCGGGGCCCCTGCACCTGGGGGTCCCCTGAGAGGCTGGGGCCGGTGCTGGGACCCGGGGGCAGCTCATGCAAAGCTCTCCCGCTTGCTCCCTGAGCAGAGGCGAGGCTCAGGCCGCAGAGCCCGCTCCGCTCGGCGGGGCCCCTTCCTGTCCCGGGGCCACCCCACCCCCCACCCCTGCGCGTCTTGAGCTCCCACGGGGCCTCCTCGCCTGCACCCCAGGGGCCTCCCATCCCCTGAAAGTCCCGCTTCCCACGGGCTGCTGGCGTCCTGTCTGGGGCTCTGGCGCGCCACCTGGCGGCCGGGGAGCCGCGTGGCCTGCAGGTGCGGGGACCTGGCCCGCAGGGCGGCCTCCGCAGACATTGAGGCCACGGAGCCGGAACCCCTGGCGTCTCGCTTCTCCTTTTCCCACGGGAAGTGGGCGCTGGTGCGCGGAGGCTCCGGGTCCCCAGGGCCCCCCACGCCCGACCTATAAGTCACCCGCCTGGGACCCCGGACCGGGAGCAGGGCAGGCCCCATGGGGGTGCCGTGGGCGGGGGCGCAGGTGCGGGGGGCGGGGAGGCGGCTGGACCCCGCGGGGCTACTGCTGCGCCCACGTGGAGCGGGGGAGCGGGGGGGAGCGGGGGAGGGGGAGGGGGTCCCCGGAACCCTCTGGCCCAGCCCCCCGCTTCCCCGCAGCAGCTGGAGAGCATCCACGTCACCGTCCTGCACAAGGAGGAGGGCGCCGGCCTGGGCTTCAGCCTGGCGGGGGGCGCGGACCTGGAGAGCAGGGAGGTCACGGTGAGGGGGCGGGGCCTGGGCAGGGGTCACGGTGAGGGGGCGGGGCCTGGAGGTCACTGTGAGGGGGCGGGGCCTGGGGGCAGGGGTCACGGTGAGGGGGCGGGGCCTGGAGGTCACGGAGAGGGCGGGGCCTGGGGGCAGGGGTCACGGTGAGGGGGCGGGCCTGGGGGCAGGGGTCATGGTGAGGGGGCGGGGCCTGGAGGGCAGGGAGGTCACGGTGAGGGGGCGGGGCCTGGGGCAGGGGTCATGGTGAGGGGGCGGGGCCTGGGGGCAGGGGTCACGGTGAGGGGGCGGGCCTGGGGGCAGGGGTCACGGTGAGGGGGCGGGGCCTGGAGGGCAGGGAGGTCACGGTGAGGGGGCGGGGCCGGGGGCGGGGGTCATGGTGAGTGGGCGGGGCCTGGAGGGCAGGGAGGTCACGGTGAGGGGGCGGGGCCTGGGGCAGGGGTCACGGTGAGGGGCAGGGGGCAGGGGACCTGGAGGGCAGGGGTCAAGTGAGGGTTAGGGCCGGGGGGGCGGGGACTGGAGGGCAGGGGGCAGGGGAGGGTTAGGGCCGGGGACTGGAGGGCAGGGGGCAGGGGAGGGTTAGGGCCGGGGGGCGCGGACTGGAGGGCAGGGGGCAGGGGAGGGTTAGGGCCGGGGGGCGGGGACTGGAGGGCAGGGGGCAGGGGAGGGTTAGGGCCGGGGACTGGAGGGCAGGGGGCAGGGGAGGGTTAGGGCCGGGGGGCGCGGACTGGAGGGCAGGGGGGCAGGGGAGGGTTAGGGCCGGGGACTGGAGGGCAGGGGGCAGGGGAGGGTTAGGGCCGGGGGGCGCGGACTGGAGGGCAGGGGGCAGGGGAGGGTTAGGGCCGGGGGGCGGGGACTGGAGGGCAGGGGCCAGGGGAGGGTTAGGGCCGGGGACTGGAGGGCAGGGGGCAGGGGAGGGTTAGGGCCGGGGGGCGCGGACTGGAGGGCAGGGGCCAGGGGAGGGTTAGGGCCGGGGGGCGCGGACTGGAGGGCAGGGGGCAGGTGAGGGTTAGGGCCGGGGGGCGGGGACTGGAGGGCAGGGGGCAGGGGGCGGGGACTGGAGGGCAGGGGGCAGGTGAGGGTTAGGGCCGGGGGGCAGGGACTGGAGGGCAGGGGCCAGGGCAGGTTAGGGCCGGGGGGCGGGGACTGGAGGGCAGGGGGCAGGGGAGGGGCCCGTGCGGGGAGGGGAGGCGGGAGGCCAGGCGGGGAGGGGCTCAGGGCAGCTGCCCTTCCCAGGAGCAGTTCCCATCCCGCCTGTGACTGGCTTGGCCTCAGCGGGACCCGCCTTCCCGAAGGGGTTACAGCCCAGGAGCCGCTGAGTCCCAGGGACCTGGCTGTGCGCCCTGCGCCGGGCAGGGGCCTGTGACCTGTGACCTGTGACCTGTGACCTGGGGGCCGGGGCGCCGGGCAGCCAGGACGGGGACCTGCGGGGGTGACGTGGACCAGGCCCGGCCTGAGCCAGAGCAGCTGGGACCAGAGGCTGAGACGGGCGGGGAGAGGGGGGACCGGCTGCTGAGTGGGGGGATGCGGGCCTGGGGGCCTCCGCGCCCTGACCCCCGGCTCCCCCTCCCCAGGTCCACAGGGTGTTCCCCAGCGGCCTGGCCGCCCAGGAGGGCACCATCCGGAAGGGCGACGAGGTGCTGTCCATCAACGGCAAGTCCCTCAGAGGCGCCACGCACAGCCAGGCGCTGGCCATCCTGCGCCAGGCCCGGGAGCCCCGCCAGGCGGTGGTGGTCACCCGGCGGCCGGCGGCCGGCGCGCGCCCCTCGGTGGAGGCCCCCGCCCCGGCCGCCCCGGCCGCCGCGGCCCCCGCGGTCCCCGCGGCCGGGGACGCCCCCTCGGACCCCGGTGAGTCCCCGCTGGGCGCGGGGGGCCGCCTGGCAACCGCTGTCCCGCGGGTCACAGGCCCGCGAAGGGCGCGCGGGCCCCGGGCGGGCGTCCCTAACAACCGTCTCCCCAGCAACGGAGGACGCGGTCGCCATGGAGACGCTGACGCTGACGCTGGAGAAGACGCCGGCGGGGCTGGGCTTCAGCCTGGAGGGCGGGCGGGGCTCGCTGCAGGGGGACCGGCCCCTCACCGTCAACCGGGTGTTCTCAGGTGCGTCTGGGACCCTGTCCCTCCGGCCGTCCCTCCATCCCTCTGTCCGTCCCTCCGTCCGTCCATCCGTCCCTCCCTCCCCTCTGCCGACCCTCCCCCTCCGCCGTCCCTCCGGCTGTCCCTCCATCCCTCTGTCCGTCCCTCCGTCCGTCCATCCGTCCCTCCCTCCCCCTCCGCCGTCCCTCCCCCTCCGCCGTCCCTCCGGCCGTCCCTCTGTCCGTCCCTCCATCCCTCTGTCTGTCCATCCGTCCCTCCCCCTCCAGCCGTCCCTCTGTCCGTCCCTCCTCCTCCGGCCGTCCCTCCCCCTCTGCCGTCCCTCTGTCCGTCCCTCCCCCTCCGGCCGTCCCTCTGTCCGTCCCTCCCACTCCAGCTGTCCCTCCGGCCGTCCCGCGGGTGGTGCCTGTCCCACCCCATTCCGAGCCCACGCCTCGCCCTCCCCCCCAGGGGCGGCCTCGGACCCTGTCCCTCTGTCCGTCCGGTGGGAGGAGGTCCTGTCCCGCCCGGGAGCCCTCACCGCCCCTCCCCCCCCCCCGGGGCGGCCTCGGGGCCGGAGAGCGTGCGGCCGGGGGACGAGGTGCTGCAGCTGGCGGGCGCCACCACGCAGGGCCTCACGCGCTTCGAGGCCTGGAGCCGCATCAAGGCGCTGCCCGACGGCCCGGTCCCCGTGATCGTGCGGAGGAGGAGCCCGCGGCCGCAGCGGACCCCGAGCCCGGCGCCCCCGTAGGCCGCCCGCCCGCCCGCCCGCCGCACGTCCGCCGCGAGGCGCCGGAGACGATGCTCAGGGTCACTCTGGGCCATGGGACTTCTGGACTCGCACCTGCAGGGACGGCCCAGCAGGGGGCGCCAGAAGGCCAGAAACAGACGATGCACAGAGCCCCGGACACTGGACTCAAGTGGGGTGGGTGTATTGCACCTGCGATGGGATAAAATGGGGTGTATTGCTCCAGCGATGGGATAAAAAGTGGGGTGCATTGCTCCAACGACGGAATAAAAAGTGGGGTGCATTGCTCCTGCGCTGGGATAAAGTGGGGTGCATTGCACCTGCCACTGAGCCGTGTCCTGCTGTACACACTCCCCAGGCGGCTACCCTCCGGCCCCCCGCAGTGGTGGGGGGGAGGGGCTGGGAGGGCGGGTCTCGGGGCGCCAGGGGACCCCGAGGAGCCTCTCCCCACCGGTGCTGGGCTCCAGGCGGGCGCCCCCCAGAGGACCACCCGGTCGGTGCGTCTTGTCACTGGATGGGCCCCGGGTCCTCTGTGCCCTCTGCCGGCGCCGGCTCCAGCCTGTGGGGTGGAGGGGGGCGGGGTGCTGGGCTGTGTTTGGAAAATACTGTCCATCACCCGCGAGGGGCTGTAGGAGGGGCACACAGTGGGGGTGTACGGGGCATGGGGGGATGGAGGGGGCACATGGGGCATACGGGGGTGACTGGGGCACGCAGGGGGGGAGACAGAGTCACATGGGGGGGAGATGGGGACACGTGGGGGTCACGTGGGAGTGGAGTCATGTGGGGTGGAGTCACGTGGGGGTGGAGTCACGTGGGGTGGAGTCACGTGGGGGATGGGGTCACGTGGTGGGGGTGGAAACACACGGGGCATGGGGGGACAGGAAGCACGTGGGGTGATGGTATCACGTGGTGGGGGGATGGGAACACATGGGGTCACGTGGGGGGATGGGATCATGTGGGGAGATGGGATTACGTGGGGGATGGGGTCACATGGTTGGGGATGGGGACACATGGGCATAGGAGCACGCAGGGGGTGTATGTGGGGCACGCAGGGGGGGAGACAGAGTCACATGGCGGGGGCCTGGGGACACGTGGGGGACACGGGGGTGTAGGGTAAGGTGACCTTAGCTAGGGGGGCATTGCAGGGACATGCAGGGGGGCCAGGGGGCCGCAGACAGACAGGCGGAGCGGGTGAGGGTTAGGGTTAGGGTCAGGGGCACGCTGACCTCACGGCGCGGCGCAGGTTGGCGTAGAAGCCGGCCATGCTGCGGGGGAAGAAGCCGTCCACCACGCGCTGCGGGAGCAGCCCGCCCAGGTCCGTCTGGAAGAAGGTGACCAGCCGGGTCCGGCCCGGCTCCCTGGGGGCAGGGCGCCGCGGGGTGAGGGCAGCCGGACGGTCCTTCACCCCCTGCCCCGAACCCGGGGCTCGCACTCCTGTCCGCGGGCCCTGCGGGTTCCTGACTCCCTTTCAAGGGCATCTGAAGGTCAAAGCCACGGTCACTCTCATTCTCCCACTCCGGGCCACCCGACAGGCACAGGCGCAGACCCGGGCTCCCCTTGCGTCCGGCATTGACTGCCACTCCGTTCACCGCTTTTGGTGGTGGTTTAGAAAAATACCGTCGTTTTTCCGTGAAAACGTGGCTTAACATGTAACTTGTTACTTTTTTAAAACCTTCTAACCATTTCCCATTTTTACCTTCAAGCACAGTAACCATGGATGGTTATACTCCACATCAAGCATGTCAAACGCACGGCCCACGCCCTGTACATGCGTGGCACGCAGGCCGTGCATTTGACGTGCGTGATCTACATGGACAAACACGCTAAAGCCCTGAAAAATAGTTAAGAGTATCATGTGGGCTTTTGGTGTTTTTTTTTTACACACCCATAACCAACTAAGAAAACAGTCACATCTACAACGGCACCAAAAAAGAATAAAATAGCCGCTAATAAACGTAACCAGAGAGAGGTACAGACCTGGACTCGGGGAAAGTGAGATATTGAAGAAGATAGAAATAAATGGAAGTGCATACCATGTTCATGGATGGGAAAGGGCATACCATGTTCATGGATGGGAAAGTGCATACCATGTTCATGGATGGGAAAGTGCATACCACGTTCATGGATGGGAAAGTGTATACCATGTTCATGGATGGGAAGTGCATACCATGTTCATGGATGGGGAAGTGCATACCATGTTCATGGATGGGGAAGTGCATACCATGTTCATGGATGGGGAGAATTAGCATCATTAAAACGGCCCACACGACCCAAAGCAAATCCATGTTCATGGATGGGAAAGGGCATACCATGTACATGAATGGGGAGTGCATACCATGTTCATGGATGGGGAGTGCATACCACATTCATGGATGGGAAAGTGCTTACCACGTTCATGAATGGGGAAGTGCATACCATGTTCATGGATGGGGAAGTACATACCATGTTCATGGATGGGGAAGTGCATACCATGTTCATGGATGGGGAGTGCATACCATGTTCATGGATGGGGAGAATTAGCATCATTAAAACGGCCCACACGACCCAAAGCAAATCCACAGATTCAACGCAGTTCCCATCAAGATAACCGAGGGCATGTTTCACCGAATTGGAACAAATACTCTGAAAATGTATAGGGACCACAGAAGAGCCACCGAGATCTTGAGAAAGAACAGAGCTGGAGGAATCTCGCCGCCTGAGCTCAAACTGACCACAAGGCCAGGGTCACCGAACAGCCTTGGCCCTGGCCTAACCACAGAATCGCAGACCCATGGGACAGAGCAGAGGGCCCAGAAACAGACCCATGCCTCTAAGGCCGGTTAGTATGTGAGGACAAAGTGTGCGGACCGCTGAGTGTGCCGGCTGCTCTCTGACCGCCTGGCCTCTGCTCCTCGATGCCCAGACCCCTCACCCCCTCCGCCCCCCTCTACCTAACACCACCAAGGCTCTCGGACAAACCCTGCCCCCCTCAGGGCCTCTGACCCGCCCGCCCGCCCGCCGGCTGTCAGCCTGGGTGGTGCCGGGGATGGCCCAGTGACCTCAGGTTATTACCCAGAACCTCTTGGTGCAAACCGGCCACCCCCTGTGAGAGCAGGGACCGCTCCGCCTGAGCTGGGCGACACCCAGTGGGTGCGCCCAGAGCCGGCCTGGGGGACAGGGGTCCCAGGCTGGGAGGCGGGGCTCAGAGGACACAGCAAGGACCCCGCACACTTCCCTGACCCTCCCCTCCCGGGCCTCAGCTGGCACCGGCTCCGGGGGACCCGCTGCCTAGGCCAGGGGGAGGGTCCCCACTTCCACACGGAGAATGACACCCCACAGCCTCTTCCGGGCCCGGCCTCTGTGCACATCACAGAGGGGACTGGGCGGGGCTGGGTCGCTGTGAGCAGAATCCCATCGAGCCGGGTCCTTCCCTGCCTGTCCCTCCTCCCTTCCTCCCTGTCCCTCCTGCCTGTTCCTCCTCCCTGTCCCTCTCCCCTCTCCCTCCTGCCTGTCCCTCTCCCCTACTGCCTGTCCCCCCTCCCTGTCCCTGTCCCTCTCCCCTGTCCCCTCTCCTCTCTCCCTCTCCCCTATCCCCCCTCCCTCTCCCTCTCCCTCTCCCTTATCCCTCTCCCTGTCCCTCTCCTCTCTCCCTCTCCCCCTCCCTGTCCCTCTCCCTGCACCTCTCCCCTGTCCCCCCTCCCTGTCCCTCTTCTCTGTCCCCTGTCCCTCTCCCTCTCCCTGTCCCTCTCCCTGTCCCCCTCCCTCTCCCTCTCCCTGTCCCCCCTCCCTGACCCTCTCCTTCTCCCCTGTCCCCTCTCCCCTGTCCCCCCTCCCTGTCCCTGTCCCCCCTCCCTCTCCCTCTCCCTGTCCCTCTCCTCTGTCCCTCTCCCCTCCCTGTCCCCCTCCCTGCCCCTCTCCCCTGTCCCCCCGCCTGTCCCTCTCCCTGTCCCCCCTCCCTCTCCCTCTCCCCTGTCCCCCCTCCCTGTCCCCTCTCCTCTCGCCCTCTCCCCTGTCCCCTCTCCCTGTCCCTCTCCCTGTCCCTCTCCCTCTCCCTGTCCCTCTCCCTCTCCCTGTCCCCCCTCCCTGTCCCTCTCCCTGTCCCCCTTCCCTGTCCCTCTCCCTGTCCCCCCTCCCTGTCCCTCTCCCCTGTCCCCCCTCCCTGCCCCTCTCCCCTGTCCCCCCTCCCTGTCCCTCTCCCTCTCCCTCTCCTCTGTCCCTCTCCCTCTCCCTCGCCCCTTTCCCCCCTCCCTCTCCCTGTCCCTCTCCCTGTCCCTCTCCCCTGCCCCCTCTCCCTGTCCCTCTCCCTGTCCCTCTCCCTCTCCCCTTTCCCCCCTCCCTGCCCCTCTCCCTATCCCTCTCCCTGTCCCCTCTCCCTGCCCCTCTCCCTGTCCCTCTCCCTTTCCCCCCTCCCTGCCCCTCTCCCCTGCCCCCCCGCCTGCCCCCGGCCGGAAGCCGCCCTCACCCTGGCACGGGTTCGCAGAAGCAGCCACAGGGGTGGTTCAGTCCCCTCACGAAGCCCGGCCGGGGGGGGCACAGCGGGTGCTCCAGGTTGGCAGCTGGAAGACAGGGCGCAGGGTGAGACACCGGGCACTCCCCCCGCCCCTCTCCACACCCCCCGCCCCCTGCCCGGCCCTGCAGGGCGCACCCCGACTCGGGGCCCCCGGAGGCCCCACCTCCTGGCCCTTCCCACACAGCTCTCCCCGCCAACCCAGCAAGGAGCACAAGGAAACACGTCAGCCCGGGCCGGTGTGGCTCAGTGGGTAGAGCGTCGGCCTGCGGACTGAAGGGTCCCGGGTTCGATTCCGGTCAAGGGCATGTGCCTTGTTTGCGGGCACATCTGCAGTGGGGGGCGTGCAGGAGGCAGCTGATCGATGACTCTCTCTCATCGACGTTTCTAACTCTCTATGCCTCTCTCCTTCCTCTCTGTACAAAATCAGTAAAATACATTAAAAAATAAAATAAGCCGAAACCGGTGTGGCTCAGTGGGTAGAGCGTCGGCCTGCAGACTGAAAGGTCCCGGGTTCGATTCCGGTCAAGGGCATGGACCTTGGTTGCGGACACGTCTCCAGTAGGGGGTGTGCAAGAGGCAGCTGGTCGATGACTCTCTCTCATCGACGTTTCTAACTCTCTATCCCTCTCCCTTCCTCTCTGTACAAAATCAATAAAATATATTTTAAAAAAAGAAAAGAAAAAGAAAAAAGATGGAAAATAAAAAAGAAAAGAATAAAAGTAAAAAAAAAATGCTTAAAAAAATAAAATAATGAAAGGATGGTCTTTGACCCTGCTGTCTCTGAGGGTGGTGGGTGGTGCCTGCCCGCACTGGACAGAGCAGGCCGGCCCCGCCCCCGCGCGGAGGGCGTGGTGGGAGCGGGGGCGGCCGCGGCCCGGCCTGTCCGCCGGGCACTCACCGGAGGAGACCAGGGTCCCGTCCTCCTGCACCGTGGCCAGCGCCAGGTCCACGAAGTCCCGCGGGGAGATGAGCTTCATGACGGCCGAGGGCGTGGCGGTCCGGGTCACGCACAGCGTCTGCGGGGCCGGCACGGCGGTGTTACTTATTTTAAAAAATATATATATTTTATCGATTGTTTACAGAGAGGAAGGGAGAGGGACAGAGAGCTAGAAACGCCGATGAGAGAGAATCATCGACCAGCTGCCTCCTGCACGCCCCCCACCGGGGATGTGCCCGCCACCAAGGTCCATGCCCTTGACCGGAATCGAACCCGGGACCTTTCAGTCCGCAGGCCGACGCTCTATCCACTGAGCCAAACGGTTTCGGCTGGATTTTTTTTTTTTTTTTTTTTTTACGGAGAGGAAGGGAGTGGAGAGAGAGAGAGCTAGGAACACCGATGAGAGAGGAAAACACCCATCAGCCTAACGCCACTTCTTCAAAACAGACTCGCCCAGGCCATGGTACGCTGTGCAAGAGCCACCCTCCAGGGGCCAAAGAGCCGCCTGTGGCTCGGGAGCCGCGGTTTGCCGACCACGGCGCCGGGGCACAGGCCGTTATTGCTGAGCCCTGGTCACCTGCGTTTGTCCCGCCAAAACCAGGCAGATCGTTCCTTCATTGGGGCATCCACGGGGCGGGCACTCCCGGGCGGGGCCCGTCGGGGGAGACTCACGTCGCTGATGCTCTCGATGACCTCAAAGCTGCTCACGTTCTCGTCCCAGGCCTCCCGCAGGCTCCCGGGACACGGCTTCACACAGGCCCACACGTCCCGCGGGGCCGCGTCCACCACGCCTTCGCCTCGGTACCTGCGGCACAGACACGGACGGGGCTGACCGGGGCGGCCCCCACCGGCCCGTCTGTCTGACCCGGGAAGGCCCGTCTCCATCCAGCCGGCCGGCCGTGCAAGGAAGCCGGCTGAGCCGCCAGCCCCAGCCCACGGGCCTGCAGACAGGGACGCAGCTCCTGGGAATGAGGTACCCTGTTCCCCCGAAAATAAGACAGTGTCTTCTATTACTTTTTTGCTCCCAAAGATGCCCTAGGTCTTTTTATTTATTTATTTATTTATTTATTTATTTATTTATTTATTTTTAAAATATATTTTTATTGATTTTTTTTTACAGAGAGGAAGAGAGAGGGATAGAGAGTTAGAAACATCAATGAGAAACATCGACCAGCTGCCTCCTGCACGCCCCCCACCGGGGATGTGCCCGCAACCAAGGTCCATGCCCTTGACCGGAATCGAACCCGGGACCTTTCAGTCCGCAGGCCGACGCTCTATCCACTGAGCCACACCGGTGCGGGTGGTTTTGTTTTGTTTTTAACCTATTTTTATTGATTTCAGAGAGGAAGGGAGAAGGAGAGAGAGAGGGAGGTATCCATAATGAGCCCTGGCTGGTGTGGTTCAATGGGTAGTGCATCATCCTGTGGGCCAAAGGGTCCCGGGTTCGATTCTGATCAAGGGCACGTACCTTGGTTGCAGGCCCCTCCCCAGACCAGGCCATGGTCAGGGCATGTGCAGGAGGCAATTCATGGATGTGTTTCTCTCACATCGATGTTTCTCTGTCTTTCCCTCTCTTTCTAAAAATCAATGGAAAAGTATCCTGGGCCGAGGATTAACAAAACGTATACAAATAGCCCTAAGCGGTGTGGCTCAGTGGATAGAGCGTCGGCCTGCGGACTGAAGGGTCCCGGGTTCGATTCCCAGTCAAGGGCATGTGCCTTGGTTGCAGGCACATCCCCAGTAGGATGCATGCAGGAGGCGGCTGATGGATGTTTCTCTCTCACCGATGTTTCTAACTCTCTCTCCTTCTCCCTTCCTCTCTGTAAAAAAAAAAATAATAATAATAATAATAATAATAAATATGTATATTAAAAAAATATATAAATAAAAATTTTAAAAAGCATCCACGATGAGAGAGAATTCACGGATCGGCTGCCTCCTGCCAACGCCCCACCCTGGGGATGGAGCCTGCAACCCCGGGGGGCCTGTTCCCTTGACCGGAATGGAACCCGAGACCCTTCGGTGGGTGGTCCGCAGGCCGGCGCTCTATCCACTGAGCCACACCGGCCGGGGCCGACTGGCACCTGCCAGGAAGGAATCCCGAGTCCCCCGGGGAGGTGGGAGGTGCGGCAGCCCTGAGCACTTACAGGTTCCCCGGGAACTCCGTGGACGGCCTCCAGGAGACTGTCACTCCGTTCTGTCAAAAGGCAAACAACCGCGCGGGGTTCAGGGCTGGGAGGGGAGGCCAGGGCGTTCGCCCAGGGGAGGCCCCTGGTGTCCAATCAACCTCGGAAGCGCCAGGTGAGCCCAGGACACCCTCCTGGGAACTGGGCACGCAGGGGGCGGGGCTCACCCTGTGATGGGCAGCCAGCCAGTCCCGGTCTGGTGACCTAGGACAGGTTCAGCCGGGAGCCTGCACATGCCTCCTTTGCAAGCACAAGGACCCAGTGTTTGTGTTTAAGGGGAGCCCCTCCCTGTCCTCTACTCACCCCTCTTCCCCCCTCCCCTCCTCTCCTTTCCTCAATCCAGCGCCAGGGCTGGGAGCACGCAAAGCAGCAGGGAGAGGAGGAGCCGGCGGCCCTAGTGGACCCCAGCACCAGCGGGGAAACCCCAGGACCCTCCCTCCCTCCCGCCCGCCTGCACTCACGCCTTCCCGGCAAGTCTTCCAGCCCGACTCGTCTCGCCGGTACCGGAACATCTTCTCGGCCACCGCCTCGCTCATCTGCGCCGCCAGCGCGGGGTCCATCGCGCCCCGGGGGAGGCGGGGGGCTGGGAGGTGGCGGGCTCGGGGCGTCCAGGCTTCGGGTTGCAGGGGAGGGAACGCTCAGCGGAAGCCTGAACGCCCCGACCAGACGCACGGATTGCGGAGCCCCGCTCCCCGGCCCCGATCCTGCCCTCCGATTGGTCCAGGTCCCCCCCAGGCCGGCTCCGCCCCGCGCTGAGATTGGCAGGACGGGCTCGGCAGGACACATCACCCCAGGGCGGGGCCGGCAAAGCCTAGCCCCGCCCACACAGGCTCTGGGCGGGGCCCCGGGGGCGGGGCCTGCGAGGGCCCGGGCGGAGAGCCAGGAGCCATAAAAGCAAAAAACAATGAAGCGATTAAAATAAAATAAAAAATAAAAAAAAATCAGATCTGGGCCCTAACCGGTGTCGCTCAGTGGTTAGCGCGCCGGCCTGCGGACTGAGAGGTCCCGGGTTCTATTCCGGTCAAGGGCATGGACCCTGGTTGCGGGCACATCCCCAGGAAGGGGTGTGCAGGAGGCAACTGATGGATATTCCTAACTCTCTCCCTCTCCCTTCCTCTCTGTAAAATAAAAATCAATAAAAAATATTTAATAAATAAATAAATAAATAAATAATAATCAGATCTGGGAGAAAAACCAGAGCCAGTTTGAACTAGAAGTAACTTTTGTCAGTACACCCAGTGTCCCTACAGGCCAGGACTTCAGACAACCCCCCAGAAGGGAAGGCACCGGGGCGGGCATGCACACACCCCTGGCAGGAACGGGGCAAATGAGAGGGTGAGGGGGCACCTCCTCCCACGGAGGGCACCCCATGTCCAAACCAGGGGGGCCCTTTTCACCGGGAGGACCATGTGTGCTGTGCGAGAGCGCACATACCTGGTGCACTTTCTAAGAGTAAAACTATTTTTAAAAAGGTAACTTCTGGTTGAAACCGGTTTGGCTCAGTGGTAGAGCGTCTGTCTGCGGACTGAAAGGTCCCGGGTTCGATTCCGGTCAAGGGCATGTACGTTGGTCATTGGTACGGGCACATCCCCGGTAGGGGGTGTGCAAGAGGCAGCTGGTCGATGTTTCTCTCTCATCGACGTTTCTAGCTATCTATTCCTCTCTGTAAAAAAAATCAATAAAATATATTTTAAAAAATGTAAAACATTAAAAAGTTACCTTCTCTGTGTGTGTTTTTTCCCACCCAATCACTCCCGGGCAAAGGCAAGACCTGTAAGTGCAGACGCCCTGGGTGTGGAGACCGGATATTCCCTAGGGGCCAGCCCGGGATGTGGGTGGGGGCGGGGTTGGCACCCCAAGGTGCTCAGGGCGGCCAGGCCAGGCTGGAAATTGGAGCTGATGGGGGCAGACCATTCTAACCGGAGCAGTTTGCTCTCTGCAGAGGAGATGAGCGGTATTTTACACTTAACTTTAAAGAGATCTTCATAGCCATGGCCGGTGTGGCTCAGTGGGTAGCGCGTCGGCCTGCGGACTGAAGGGTACCTGGGTTCAAAGGCTCTCTCTCTATATATATATAATATTATTGATTTTTTCACAGAGAGGAAGGGAGAGGGATAGAGAGTTAGAAACATCGATGAGAGAGAAACATCAACCAGCTGCCTCCTGCACACCCCCCACCGGGGATGTGCCCGCAACCAAGGTCCATGGCCTTGACCGGAATCGAACCCGGGACCTTTCAGTCCGCAGGCCGACGCTCTATCCACTGAGCCACACCGGTTTTGACATATACCGTGTTTCCCCGAAAATAAGACATCCTCCGAAAATAAGACCTACTTACAGGTTTCCATCTGAGTGAAATATAAGCCCCCCCCCCCAGGCTAAACATGAGAGATTTGGTCCACTGATTCTGAGAGAAATGGAGTCCCAAGAAATTCACCAGGAAGTTCAGGAATTGGATTGTGAGGATGATGTTCCAGAAGAGGATGACACGATTGTCACTGAATAAATGAGTACGTTCTTGGTGCTGTAGGATTCACAGTGTGTCTGGTTTGTGTTGACAACGACCGTACTACCGTACCGTCTACAGGGAATACGTTTCCTTTATTTTCGTTTAACAATAAATGTGTGCCGTATTCTTCTTCAGGGAAAAATAAGACATCCCCTGAAAATAAGACCTAGCGCATCTTTGGGAGCAAAAATTAATAGAAGACACTGTCTTATTTTCGGGGAAACAGGATATATAATTTTTTTTTTTAGATGGATGAGGCGTGGGCAGCCTGGCTCACAGAGGGGGGTGGCGCCCGCGTTCTGTGCAGACTGGGGAGCTGGGCAGGTGCTGGCAGCTGCGCTGGGAGGGGCATGTGTTTATTGACTGCTTCTTAGCAACGCACCAGCCGCTCCCTCAGCACCTGACCCCTGGGGCGCCACTCCCCCCTCAGGGCACCAGAGGCAGGGACCACAACCCCACTTCCCAGGCCAGGAAACTGAGGCTCGCCCTAGCGTCCGAGGGAAGCCACAGGGCTGGTGACACGGCCGGACACGCCCAGCCTCTGGCTCATGTCTGCTCCTGTCCTTCCTGCCTGCCGCTTCCTCCAGGGAGATGCAGTGTGTACCGTGGGACCGGCAATGGGCGAAGGGCAGAGCAGCCCTGGCTGGTGTGGCTCAGTGGGTAGAGCGTCAGCTTGAGGACTGAAGGGTCCCGGGTTCGATTCCCGGTTCGGGCACAGGCCTGGGTTGCGGGCTCCATCCCCAGTGTGGGGCGTGCAGGAGGCAGCCGATCCATGGCTCTCTCATCATGGATGTTTCTCTCTCTGTCCCAATCAATCAATATATATATATATATATATATATATATATATATATATATATATATATATATATATAAAAGGACAGCAGAGCCCTAGCCAGTTCGGCTCAGTGGACAGAGCGCCGGCCTGTGGACCAAAGGGTCCTGGGTTCGATTCTGGCCAAGGGCACATGCCCGGGATGTGGGCTTAATTCCCCACGCCCTGTAGGGAGGCGTGCAGGAGGCAGCCAATCAAGGATTCTCTCTCATCATTGCTGTTTCTCTCTCTCTCTCTCTCCTTTCCTCTCTGAAGTCAATAAAAAAAATATGTTAAAAAATAAAAATAAAAAAATAAAAAGTACAGCAGAAACACACACACACACGCACACACACTCACACACGCGTGCGCACACACACACGGAGGATTTGCCCCAGGAGCACCCCAGACCCGGGGAGTGAGTCTTAGGGACCCACAGAGGGCTTTCCTCTGCAGCTGCTGCCCCTCAGGAATTCCAAAGTTTGGGGGTGACCTGGGGGACCCCCTAGGCCCCCTCAGCAAGGACCCAGCCCTCCTATGAGTGGGGACTCCGATCTGAGCCCTGGGGAGCCTGTCCCCCAGGCGGTTAGGGGGAGAGAGATCTGAACAGGTGGCTCCCATCCTCACTGCCTCTGACTCCCTCCTGCCCCTCTGTCCTCTCCCCTCTCCCCCCCCCCCCCGCAGGGGCTTTGGGGAGCGCAGGTGTGTGCTCCCTCCCGCTGTCCCTGTGGCCGCTGCGGGCCGATCGGGCGGGTGTGGACCCAGGAAATGCAAGTTCCACGTGGATGCAGGTCCCACCCGGCGGGCCACCAGAGAGGAATGGTCCCCGCCCCCTGCCTGCGGGGCTGTGGGGGCTGGACCTGGGACAGCAGGGCCGTGGGGGGCAGTTGGGGGCTGGCGCCTGCACAGGTGACTTCCATGCCTGCCGATGGGAAGCGGTGGGCAGAGGGCGGTTTATCCGCATGAGTGAGCTGCTTTGTCTGTCCCCAGCGGGCCCCACACACGTGTGTGCATGTGACAGATCTGCTGAGCTAAACACAGGCGTGTGCACGTTTACGGATGCCTCTGCACACACAGGTACATTTACATACTCATGTACACAACATGTACATGCATAACATGTACATTTATATACACGTATACATTTATACACATATAACATGTACATATACATGTGTATAGCATATATTCACACATACTTATATAACACGTACATTTATATGCACATGTATAACATGTACACCCACATGTACAGCATACATTCACACATATAACACGTACATTTATATAAACACACATAACATGTACATTTACATACACATATACATTTACACACATATATAACATGTTCACCTGTACACATACGTGATGTACATTTACACATACTTTTATAACATGTACATTTATACACACAGATAACACATACATCTACACAGGTATATAGCATATATCCACACACACTTACATAACATGTACAGTTATATTACACAAACCTAACATGTATGTCAATACACAGATAGCATACATTCTCACATAGTTTATAACATGTACATGTATACGCATACATATTAATGTGTACACACATGTATGTAGCCTATGTTTACACATACTTATATAACATGTACATTTATACACATGTAACACGTACATCTACACAGGTATATAGCACACATTTATAGATACTTTTATAACGCGTACATTTATACACACATGTAACATGTACGTCTACACAGGTATATAGCACACGTCTACACATACTTTTGTGATGTGTACATTTATACACACATGTAACATGTACGTCTACACAGGTATATAGCACACATTTACACATACTTTTATAACATGTACGCACATATAGCATGTACATCTACACAGGTTTATAGCATACATTTGCTCGTGTGTGATATATTTATACACATATGTAACACGTACGTTCACACAGTCATATAACATGTATATTTACACACAGCCCATGGACATCTACACACATACAGCATCCATTTACACTCGTGTCTGTGAGATATTTTCACACATGTGTATAACATATACAGTTCCCACACACGCACAGCACACACATGTACACATGTATGTAACTATGCTCCACAAACTGAATGGACCTACACCAAACTCTCGGCAGTGGTGGTGGGGGGCCGTGAGACTAGAGGGGGTGGACTTTGGTGACCCCTGTAACATCCGGGACACTATTACTGTGTCGTCACTGTGTCGCTGTCACACTGCCGCTGCTATTGCTGCTGCTGCTACAGGTAAAGCAGGTGTTGGCCCGCCAGGCGCCCGCTGTCCCGCATCTGTGAACCCGTCCGCGCTGAGAACCGGGGCGCGCTGGGCCCCGTGCTGAGAGCTGAGCGCCGGGCAGGCGCGCCGAGCTGTTGCGAAAGGCACTGGGTGCTGCGGCCGGGTGTGTCCTGGCCCAGCCCGCGTGCGGGAACCCTGCAGGGCCTGCTGGGCCCGCGCTCTCCCCTCACACCCTGCACCGCCCGTCCCAGAGGCAGGGCCGCCCCCAGCGCTGCGGGGCGTCCCCGGAGCCGGGGCCCGGCCCCTGGCACAGGTGCGGCATGCAAGGGTGCCCCTGGCATTCCAGATCGCTTCCTGTCTTAGGTGCCACCCCTGGCCCCAAGGCATCAGTCAGGGGCGGGAGGCACGGAGGAGGGATGGTTGCCGTGGAAACGGAAGGTCGGACATCTGGCTAATCTGCCACGGGGCCCACGCTGCCCAGCCCCCCATCAGAGCGCGGAAGGGGGTCAGCTTCCAGGGAAGACCTGGTGGGAGGGGCCGGGTACTGGAACCCGCGGCCCCAGGAGAGCATAGTCAGAAGCAGGAGCAGAGCTGAGGGGGGGGGGGGGGGGGGAGAGACCTCGGAGGTTCCAGCTGAGCCCGAAGCCTGTCCTTCGAGAGGTTCGAGGTTCGAGGGGCGGGAAACCTGGCAGGTCTCGCCACCTCCAGACTCACTCGGTGTCCAGCCTGATTGACAGGCACGGGGGCCAGTCACGAGCCCACGCAGGCGGGGCCACCCACGGCGGCCCCTCCCCCGGGCTGATGGGGAGGATGCTGCAGGATCCAGGGACCCACAGCCTTTGTTTGCAGGATCCGGACAAGCACAGACGCCAGGGAGGCGGGCTCCTGATGGGCGAGGGCTGGTGTCTTGGAAACGAGGGTCTAACCTGGGGGACCTCCCCCCCAAATACAGGAACCCGCCCCCCTCCCCAAACACAGCGTCTCCTGCAATCAGCCGCTCTACAGGTCGCTACTGGACAGAGCACACAGTGGGGCGGCCAGGAGCACACAGTGGGGCAGCCAGGAGCACACGGTGGGATGGCACCAGTGGAGCACACAGTGGGGTGGCCAGGAGCACACAGTGGGGCAGCCAGGAGCACACGGTGGGATGGCCAGGAACACACATTTGGGCAGCCAGGAGCACATAGTGGGATGGCCAGGAACACACAGTGGGGCAGCCAGGAGCACACAGTGGGACGGCACCAGTGGAGCACAGACTGGGGCAGCCAGGAGCACACAATGGGACAGTCAGGAGTACATATTGAGACAGTCAGGGGCACACAGTGGGGCAGCCAGGAGCACATAGTGGAACGGCCAGGAGCACACATTGGGGCAGCCAGGAGCACACGGTGGGATGGCGCCAGTGGAGCACACAGTGGGGCAGCCAGGAGCACACAGTGGGACAGCCCAGGAGCCCATAGTTGGGCAGCCAGGAACACACAGCCAGGAGCACACAGGTCGGGAGGCGAGGGGCGGGGGGCTCTGATCTCGGGGACCCCAGCACCCGGAGCCCCACTACACGCGTGAGCAGACCAGGCCGCTCAGATCCGCGCGCTCCCGCCTCCCAGGGGCCTGGCCCCTGCCCCCCGCGGGGCGCGCGCACCCGGGTGGCCGGCCGGGCCCGCGGCGGACCTGCAGGTACTGGTCGGCGCCGTCGCTGCTGGATGCCGACAGCGAGTCCGATTCCGCGAGGGGCGGCTGGGACTGGGGGCTCCCCCTGGGCCGCAGCGGGGGGTGGGGGTGCGGGGCGTTCCGGGGGCGCGGCTTCTTCTGCACAGACCTTGGAGCAGCGTCGAGGGGACCCCCAAAACCCTCGTCCCAAGACAGGGCGTGCCCCCAGCCCCAGCTGCTGGGCCCGTTGCCAGCACAGAAGTGGGGGCCCCCGGGCAGGCCGCGCAGGGAGCGGGGGTGCAGAGGCCTCGGGGGCTCCTCCTCCTCACTGTCGCTCAGCCCCGGGGAGCTTGCGCGTTGGGGGGCCCCTGGCGCACAGCGCATGCTCCTGGGGCACGCCTCCACCTCCACCAGGGCCCCCGAGGCGACGACCTTGAAGTGGCCTTGGGGCCAGAGCAGCGGGTGCGTGTTCTCGCGGGGGTCCCGCTCCTGGACCAGGTGGAACCTGGGGGCCGCGCCCCCCGGACGCACGCGCTCGCGGCCCCGCGGGCCATCGTCGGGGCGGACGTCCTCCATGCGCCTTGCAGACGTCTCCGGGGCGCGGGGCCTGCTCCGGGGCCGGCCGCCGGGGCCCGCCCGCGGACCGCGGGGGCGCCTGTGGGACGGGGTGGTCACGGTGCAGCCGGGGCTCTCCGTCCCCCGCCGCCGGGCCCCGGAGCGGCTCCGGTGGCTCCGGGGGGTCTCACTGCGGCGCTGGGTGTCCCCTGGAGACAGGATGCTCTCCCCCCGGGGCTCACAGGTCCTATCGTGGCCTCTTGGTGCAGGAGCACACAGTGGGGCGGCCAGGAGCACACAGCGAGGCAGCCAGGAGCACACAGCGGGGCAGTCAGGAGCACACAGTGGGAAGACACCAGTGGAGCACACAGTGGGGCAGTCAGGAGCACACAGTGGGGCAGTCAGGAGCACATAGGGCAGCACCAATGGAGCACACAGTGGGCAGCCAGGAGTATACAGTGGGGCGGTCAGGAGCACACAGTGGGGTGGCCAGGAGCCCACAGTTGGGCAGTCAGAAACACACAGTGGGAAGGCCAGGAGCACACAGTGGGACAGCCCAGGAGCCCACAGTTGGGCAGTCAGAAACACACAGTGGGAAGGCCAGGAGCCCATAGTTGGGCAGTCAGAAACACACAGTGGGAAGGCCAGGAGCACACAGTGGGACAGCCCAGGAGCCCACAGTTGGGCAATCAGAAACACACAGTGGGAAGGCCAGGAGCACACAGTGGGACAGCCCAGGAGCCCACAGTTGGGCAGTCAGAAACACACAGTGGGAAGGCCAGGATCACACAGTGGGAGAGCCCAGGAGCCCATAGTTGGGCAGTCAGAAACACACAGTGGGAAGGCCAGGAGCCCATAGTTGGGCAGTCAGAAACACACAGTGGGAAGGCCAGGAGCCCATAGTTGGGCAGTCAGGAACACACAGTGGGAAGGCCAGGATCACACAGTGGGAGAGCCCAGGAGCCCATAGTTGGGCAGTCAGGAACACACAGCGGTTAGAAGCATGCCCTCACCCCCTCAGCCACACCGCTGTCCAGCCTCGCAGACAGACAGTCACCCAGGGCCTGCAGGACTCACAGCCCAGGCCCCACAGAGACGGGAGCTCAGCCCCTCACACCCCTCACACAGCGAGACTCAGTCGGGGTCTTTGTTAACTTCGTCATTGTCTTTAAACAAACACGCTCCCCACCCCGCCCCATGGGTGACAAACCCACACCCGCCCCGCCCCCCCATGACGGACACGCCACGCTGACGGCTGGCCCGGGTCCCCCAACGCCGAGCGGCAGGGGCCACGCTCACCTCCGGGCGCTGCGCTCCGGCCAGGACCTGGGGGCGCCGGGGCTGCCCGGCCCGGGCGGGGGGCTGTGGGGCGCGGGCTGGCCCGCCGCGTCCCCCCGGCCTCTCCTGCCGCCGGGCGAGCCGACGCCGGCGCTGACGGCGTGGCCGTTGTCCTGGGGCGTCCCCGCGGGGGCCAGGGCCGGCCTCGGGGGGCCCTCCTGGGTCTGGATCCGGGCTGCAGGGAGAGAGGGTGAGCGGTGAGCGGGGAGCTGGGGGGAGGGGGGCCCGGGTCAGGTCAGGGGGATGGGACTGCACGAGTCAGACTTCCCACAGGAAGTCCGGGGCCACCACGCCCTGATCGACGGAGAGCCGCCTGCGGGGTGGGGGGAGCCAGGCCAGCCCCAGGCTTTGGGGGTGCACACCACGAGGCTTAGCGGTGATCCCCAGCTTCCGGCTCAGGTCCTGCCTCTGGGCTGGACACCAGAAAGCTTACAGGGCGAGGGCGATGTTGGGGGGACAGTCCCAGAGCATTCTGGGAAAAAGGCGTGACATGGATTTGGGAAGGGGACGGCCAGGAGCACACAGTGGGGCGGCCAGGAGCACACAGTGGGACAGCAGGAGCACACAGTGGGATAGTCCGGAGCACACATTGGGACAGCCAGAGCACACAGTGAGATGGCACCAGTGGAGCACACAGTGGGGCAGCCAGGAGCACACAGTGGGGCAGCAGGAGCACACAGTAGGATGGCCAGGAGCACACAGCGGGGCGGCCCGGAGCACACAGTGGGATGGCACCAGTGGAGCACAGAGTGGGAATGACAGTAGCACACAGTGGGACAGCCTAGGAGCCCATAGTTGAGCAGCCAGGATGCTACGGGGAGTGGAGGAAGCCATGGCTCTGCCCTGAGCGACACTGGACCATCAGGGTGGGGGCCCCCCACCCAGGCCTCCTCCCAGGAGAACGCCCCCTCCGCCCGCTCAGAGAGCAGCAGACGGGGCCGCCCCAGGCCCTCTGGGTCCCCCGGCCGTCCTTCTCCGAGGGAGACCGTGCACTGTGCCGGTCCTGCCTGCCACCCTCCAGCTGGGAGGGGTCCCGGGCTGCCCCCTGCAGCCGTGCCCGCCAAGGCCCCCTACAGGCCCCAACTCCGGCTCCTGTCTTCCCCTGTTCTGGGGAGTCCCTCCTCCCCTCTGAGCTCAGGTGGGGGGCAGAGAGGGGATGAGGGGTGCCATGGGGTGTGGCTCCTTATTCAGGACCCTGGCCCCAGCTGCGACTGTGGCTGGGCCCTGCCCTGCAGTTGTGGGAAGAGGGGCCTAAGGAGGCGGGGCCTGGGCCTGAGGAGGCGGGGCCTGGGCCTAAGGAGACGGGGCTGGGCCTAATAAGGAGGCAGAGCCTAGGCCTGAGGAGGCGGGGCCTGAAGAGGCAGGGCCTGGGCCTGAGGAGGCGGGGCCTGGGCCTAAGGAGGCGGGGCCTGAGCCTGAGGAGGCGAGGCCTGGGACTGAGGAGGCGGGGCCTGGGACTGAGGAGGCGGGGCCTGAGCCTGAGGAGGCGAGGCCTGGGACTGAGGAGGCGGGGCCTGGGACTGAGGAGGCGAGGCCTGGGACTGAGGAGGCGAGGCCTGGGCCTAATAGGGAGGCGGGGCCTGGGCCTAATAGGGAGGCGGGGCCTGGGCCTAATGAGAAGGCGGGGCCTGGGCCTAATGAGAAGGCGGGGCCTAGGCCTAGGAGGCGGGGCCTGGGCCTATGGAGGCGGGGCCTGGGCCTAATAGGGAGGCAGGGCCTGGGCCTAGGAAGGCGGGGCCTGGGCCTAAGCAGCCGGGGCTGGGCCTAATAAGGAGGCGGAGCCTAGGCCTGAGGAGGCGGGGCCTGAAGAGGCAGGGAACTGGGCCTGAGGAGGCAGGGCCTGGGCCTAAGGAGGCGGGGCCTGAGCCTGAGGAGGCGAGGCCTGGGGCTGAGGAGGCGAGGCCTGGGACTGAGGAGGCGGGGCCTGGGCCTGAGGAGGCGGGGCCTGGGCTTGAGGAGGCGGGGCCTGGGCCTATGGAGGTGGGGCCTGGGCCTAATAGGGAGGCGGGGCCTGGGCCTAATAAGAAGGCGGGGCCTGGGTCTGAGGAGGCGGGGCCTGGGCCTGAGGAGGCGGACCCTGGGAAAGCCTTGCAGGAACAGAGACATGGAGAGAAGCACAAAAGTGAACAAGACCAAAACATTCTCATGGCTTCTTCTCCGGCTCCACTCTTTCCTCCTGGCTTCACACCTGCGCTGGGGTGACTCCCAGGCCCGCTGTGCCGTGAACACCGTAGACTTAAACCCACACGTGTGTCCCTAGAGTGAGGTGACCAGGCGTCCCGCTTTTGGCGGGACAGTCCCGGTTCCTAACCATTTGTCCCGCGTCCCGCGGCGTTTTTAAAAAGCCCCGATTCTTTAATCTTTCCAGAAAAGTCCCGATTTTTTTTTTTTTTTTAATCTTTCCAAAAACCGGGACTGTTTTTTTTTAAACGCCGCGGGACAAAGTGTTCAAAAGCGGGGCTGTCCCGCCAAAAGCGGGACGTCTGGTCCCCTCACCCTGGAATCCGTTTCCTGGGGCCTGGTGAGTGGGGGAAAGCAGAATGCAGGGGTGGGGGGTGTTTGCCAGCCGGGCACCCGCCCACAAGGACACCCGCTCACTGCTCTTCCCCTCCTCACCTTCCACCATCTGGGCCGCCTTCCTCTTGTCTTCAGATCTCGCCTGCAACACGGACGATAATCACACGTTTTTGGACGTCGCAGGAGGCAGGGGCATGCAGGGGAAAGACAGGAGCCACCTTGCTGGTGCCTTTGGCCATGACCCTGGCCCCGGGGGGGCACAGCGAGCAGACACTGACCCCTGGCGCTAACGCGTATGCCCCTGGCGCTAACGCATTCAGCCCCCGGATGGAGGTGGGGTCACGCCAGTGACGGGACTGGGACACAGACAAGAGGTGCGGGCGCCAAAACCGGTGTGGCTCAGTGGATAGAGCGTCGGCCTGCAGACTAAAAGGTCCCGGGTTCGATTCCGGTCAAGGGCATGGGTCTTGGTTGCCAGCACATCCCTGGTGGGGGTGGGGGGGGGCGGTGCAAGAGGCAACTGATAGATGTTTCTCTCTCATCGATGTTTCTGGCTCTTTATCCCTCTCTCTTCCTCTCTGTGAAAAATCAATAAAATATATATATTAAAAAAAAAAAAAAAAGAGGTGCGGGCAACACGGGGACGCCCTCAGCTGCTCCAGATGCTTTTCTTTTTAAACGATTGAGGGGACGGGACGCACTGGGATGTCTGTGCCAGAATCGGGATTCACGGGAGGTGTTTTTTAAAAATGTAAAGAGGTGGAGGTCCCTGGCATGGGGTTCTGGGAGGGAGCGAGCTGGTGCTGGCCCTGGGGGAGCCGCTGGCTGTGGGAGGAGTGGGGGATGTGGAAGGATTGGGGGGTGGGGAGGGGCCCTGGGCTCCTGGGCTCCCTCTGACTGTTCTGACAGCTAAGGCTGAAGAACCACCAGGGTCGATGTTTCGCTCTCATCGACGTTTCTAGCTCTCTATCCCTCTCTGTGGAAAATCAATGATATATATATATATATTTTTAAAAAATATATATTTTATTGATTTTTTACAGAGAGGAAGGGAGAGGGATAGAGAGCTAGAAACATCGATGAGAGAGAAACATAGACCAGTTGCCCCCTACACACCCCCTACCGGGGATGTGCCCGCAACCAAGGTACATACTCTTGACCGGAATCGAACCCAGGACCTTTCAGTCTGCAGACCGACGCTCTACCACTGAGCCAAACCGGTTTCGGCAATGAAATATATTTTTTTTAAAAAGAAAAAGGAAAAAATCTGAAACCGGTGTGGTTCAGTGGATAGAGCGTCAGCCTGCGAACTGAAAGGTCCCGGGTTCGATTCCGGTCAAGGGCATGTGCCTTGGTGGCGGGCACATCCCCAGTAGGGGGGTGTGCAGGAGGCAGCTGGTCGATGTTTTCACTCTCGGCATTTCTAGCTCTCTATCCCTCTTCCTTCCTCTCGGTGGAAAATCAATAAAATATATTTAGATAATTAAATAAAAAGAACCACCAGGATCTAATAGCGGCCCTGGCTCCGATGCCCAACGAGGACACGGATCCCAGGAATCCCTTCTCTCCCGCCCAGCACAGCCCCCGGAAGAGCCCACGCCTGCAGGGCTGGGCATGGCCACCAGATGGCGCTCAAGCTCTCAGGCATCCGAGTGCTGGGCAGCCTCATTTCATTCCTGGGCAAATGGGGGGCCCCCCTGCCCCGGGGGGGGCTCCCAGCAATGACCCTGGGCGATGCCAAGAGGCGGAGAGGGGGCCTTGCACCCCCTCCCCATGCTGCGGGGGGGGGGGGAGCCGGGATTCCCGGGGATTTGAGAATGAGAGGCCTCACGGGCGCCCCCTGCTGGCGGGACCTGCCCCTTTCGTCGCGGCGGGGAGGGCGGTACTTGCGTTCTGGATCTGCATGCGGAGCTGGCGGTTGCTGAGCCTCAGGGACCGGGCGATGCTCTGCAGGTAGTAGATGAGCATGCTGGGAGGGAGGAGAGACAGGCCAGGGCTCAGGGTTCGGGAATCAGGGATGGGTGGGGGTGGGGGGGGGAGATCACGGCTCCAGGCTCAGAGCTTGGGTGCGCCCCCCGCCCCGCTTCGCTGGGGTCCCAGCCAGGGGTCCCCGCCGCTCCCCCGGGGCTCAGCAGTCGCCGTGGGCACCGAGGCCCCAGGAGGTCTTGCTCTTCCCAGCAGCCTCCGCTGCACGGGCTGCAGCGCAGATGCAGCAGGTCCAGTGGGCGGGCCTGGGGGGCTGCAGGGCGGGCAGGAGCCCAGCGCACGGGAGGTCCCTCCTGCAGCCGCTGACCTCGGGGGCAGGACGCCACAGCCCGGGGGCCCGGCCCCCGCCGCCCAGGCCCAGCTCAGGCCCCCTGCCGGCAGGCGGGGACGGGCACAGATGCCCCGAGTGCGGGGCACTGGGGGCGGGGCACTCACAAGAGCAGCAGCACGGCGGGCAGGATCACCACGGGGCTGCTCACGTAGCCCACCACCGCGCCGCACCAGGCCGGCAGGTCGGCCACCGTCTCGGCCACCACGTCGTAGATCTTCTCCTGCCCGCTGGGGGGTGGGGGGTGGGGGGTGGGGGGCAGAGAGGGCGGGCGTCAAGGTCAGCGAGGAAGCCGGGAGGACGCCAGCCTCTTCTGGGGGGACAGGGGGTCCCCGGGAGGAGTCCCAGGCACTGCGCAGCGGGAGGTGGGTCCGCAATCAGAGTGTGTCGGCGTGAGCGTGTGTGGGAGTGCATGTGGGTGTGTGCAAGTGCGAGTGCGAGTGTGCATGTGAGTGTGTGCGTGTGTGCATGTGTGTGCATGTGCAAGCGTGTGAGTGTGCATGTGAGTGTGTGCAAGTGTGATAGAGAGGGTGCAAGTGTGAGTGAGAGTGTGCAAGTGTGTGTGAGAGTGTGCGTGTGAGAGTGTGTGCAAGTGTGAGTGAGAGTGTGCAAGTGTGTGAGAGTGTGCAAGTGTGTGCGCGTGTGTGTGCATGTGCAAGCGTGTGAGTGTGCATGTGAGTGTGTGCAAGTGTGATAGAGAGGGTGCAAGTGTGAGTGAGAGTGTGCAAGTGTGTAAGAGAGTGTGCAAGTGTGTGCGCGTGAGTGTGTGCGTATGCATGAGTGTGTGCGTGTGTGTGCATGTGCAAGTGTGTGAGTGTGCATGTGCACGTGTGGTCGAGAGTGTGCACGTGTGATCGAGAGTGTGCAAGTGTGTGAGAGAGAGTGCACGTGTGCAAGTGTGAGCTGGAAAGTGCAAGTGTCAGTATGTGAGTGTGAGAGCGAGAGTGTGTGTGTGCACATGTGCGAGTGTGTGTGTATGAGTGTGAGTGTGCATGTGAGTGTATGAATGTGAGTGCGAATAGTGTACACAAACCCAGACCCTAATGCTCCGTAGATGTTATCAGAATGGACTGAGAGCCCGGCCTGTCTGGCTCAGTGGTTAGGGCGGCGGCCCCCGGACTGAAGGCTCGAGGGCTCCGTTCCGGTCGAGGGCGCGGGCCTCGGCTGCAGACTCCATCCCTGCCGAGGTCGGGCGGTGCAGGAGGCAGCCATCGCCGTGTCTCTCTGCCATCGACGTTTCCCTCTCCCTGTCTCTCCCCGCCCTCCGCTCTCTCTGAGAGTCCACAGGAAACGTCCTCAGATGAGGATGGACACCAACAAAGACAAAGCTCCCGCGGGGAGGGGAGCCGGCACGCCCTGACGGGATGCGGCCGAGGCAGGGGTGGGAGGACTCTCGGGGACCCTGAGTCTGGGCGGGCCTGGCCGGCGGGGAGCTCCCTGGAGCACCGAGCACCCTGCTGCCCTCTGGGTGCCGGCCGGGCCTCTCCTTAGGGAGCGGGGGCAGAGGCCAGCAGGGCGGCGCCCAGAGGACAGGCCCACCTCCCAGCGCCCACGCCTGCCAGCCGGAGCCGGAGAAGGAGGAGGAGGGGGAGGAGGGAGAGGGGGAAGGAAGGGGAGGAGGAGGAGGGGGAGGAGGGGGAGGAGGGAGAGGGGGAGGAGGGAGAGGAGGAGGAGGGGGAGGAGGGGGAGGAGGAGGAGGGAAAGGAGGAGGAGGGGGAGGAGGGAGAGGGGGAGGAGGGAGAGGAGGAGAAGGGGAAGGAGGAGGAAGGGGAGGAGGGGGAAGAGGGGGAGGAGGGGGAGGAGGGGGAGGAGGGGGAGGAGGGGGAGGGAGGAGGAGGGGGAGGAGGGGGAGGGAGGAGGAGGGGGAGGAGGGGGACAGGGACCACCTCACAGCGCCCACGGAAGGAAGGAGGAGGAAGAGGTGGAGGAGGAGGAGGAGATGGAGGAGGAGGAGGAGAGGGAGGAGGAGGAGGACAGGGGCGGGTATCCGGGGAGGGGGGCGAGCGCTCACCTGAAGGGCCCGCAGTGCAGGGACGGCCGGTAGCGGGCGATGGCGAACACGGTGGGCAGCATGCACAGGAACAGCATGAACAGCAGCATGGCCAGGTAGAAGTTGTTGGACCTGCAGGCCCGCCACGGGTCACGTGCGGCCACGGAACCACGGCCACATGCCCAGGGACGGACACGGAACCACGGCCACATGCCCAGGGACGGACACGGAACCACGGCCACACGCCCAGGGACAGACACGAAACCATGGCCACACGCCCAGGGGTGGACACGGAACCACAGCCACACACCCCGGGACCCAGGGACGGCCACGGAACCACGGCCACATGCCCAGGGACGGACACGGAACCACGGCCACACGCCCAGGGACGGACACGGAACCACGGCCACATGCCCAGGGACGGACACGGAACCACGGCCACACGCCCAGGGACGGACACGGAACCACGGCCACACGCCCAGGGACGGACACGGAACCACGGCCACACGCCCAGGGACGGACACGGAACCACGGCCACACGAACCCACAGTCTGACTCTGCCAACAAAACACCATCTGCCCCCCGCTCCCCTGCTGCCCAGGGACAGGCCTGAGGGGGTCACAAGAGCTTAGCAAACTAGGGACTTCCTTCCTGGGTCACCCGGCCCAGCCCGCCCCCTCAAGCCCAGACAGGCCAGCCCAGGGCCCTCAGCTACTGAGCACAACCCAGGGACCATGTCGGAGCCCCCTCCCACCCTCAGGGCTGTGGCCTCAAAACACCCCTTGCGTTCGGTCTGTGAACATCATCCAAACGGGGGGTGTGTGAAGGCCACTTCCCACTGGTGATTAGACTCCAGCAAAGGTTCTTAAGCCCTGGCCGACCTTTGGACTGAAAGGTCCCGGGTTCGATTCCGGTCAAAGGGCATGGACTTTGGTTGCAGGATCCTCCCCAGCCCAGGCCCTGGTCAGGGCACATGCAGGAGGCAACCCATCGATGTGTCTCTCTCCCCCATCGATGTGTCTCTCTCCCCCATCGATGTGTCTCTTGGTCTCCCCCTCTCTTTCACTCCCTCTGAAAATAACTGGGAAAATATATTCGGGGGAGGATTTTTAAAAGTTTATAAAAACGTGTCATACCCTGACCAGTTTGGCTCAGTGGATAGAGTAGGGGTGTCGAACTCAATCAGAGAAGGGGCCAAAATCTAAAATCCAGCCTAAATCGCGGGCCGAATGGTTTACTGAACAGTCATAAACTGTCATTGTGATGGAAACGCAGCGGAGTGCAGTGATGACAGCGCGGTGCGGGCCACATTGCAAGGCCTGGCGGGACGGATTTGGCCCGAGGGCCTTGTGTTTGACACATTTGGGATAGAGCATCAGCCTGCGGATTGAAGGGTCCCAGGTTCGATTCCGGTCAAGGGCATGGACCTTGGTTGCGGGCACATTCCCAGGTTGGAGGCAGCTGATTAATGTTTCTCTCTCATCCATGTTTCTAACTCTATCCCTCTCTCTTCCTCTCTGTAAAAAGTCAATTATATATATATATATATAAATAAATAAATAAATAAATATATATATATATATATTTATATACATATATTTAATATATATTATTGATTTTTTCACAGAGAGGAAGGGAGAGAGATAGAGAGTTAGAAACATCGATGAGAGAGAGTCATCGATCAGCTGCCTCTTGCACACCCCCTTCTGGGGATGTGCCACAACCAAGGTACATGCCCTTGACCGGAATCGAACCCAGAACCCTCCAGTCCCCAAGCCGACGCTCTATCCATTGAGCCAAACCGGTCTCGGCCATATATATATATATATATATATATATATATATATATATATATATATATATATATATATAATTTTTTTTTTTTAATGTGTCGGGAGCTCTCGGGGAGTGAAGGTGAATTCCAGGCTGGGTCCCGGAAGGCTTGGGGATGGAATTAACCGGGTCAGGCTGGTGGCAGCGGGCGGGAAGGTGTGTGTGTGTGTGTGTGTGTGTGTGTGTGTGTGCCCTGGCTGCAGGGGACCTGGATGGGCTCTCTGCACCCCACAGGCTGGGGGGTGCCACCCACCTGGACGCCCGGAACACCTGCTGGTGGGGCACGTTGCAGGTGAGCACGGTCCAGCTCCGCAGGTACATGATCCCGACCAGCTTGAGGACGTTGAAGGCGGGCAGGCAGGGCGAGAAGAAGGAGCCCATCCTGGAACCGGGGAGAGGCCGTGAGCATGTGGCCTCATCTGCCGTGGTCCCAGCCAACGCCACATCTGAGGAACTGGGGGGGACCCCTGAGATCTGAGACCCCAGGCCCCGCCCCCACCTCCTGGAGGTGAGCAGTGACCCTGCGCCCCAGACCCTCCACGCCCCTCGCCTCACACCGGTGGCTCGGTGGCTGAGCGTCGACCTACGAACTAGGAAGTCAGGGTTCGATTCCCGGTCAGGGCACATGCCCGGATTGTGGGCTCGATCCCCAGTGTGGGGCATGCAGGAGGCAACCGATCCATGATTCTCTCTCATCATTGATGTCTCTCTCTCTCTCTCTCTCTCTCTCTCTCTCTCTCAAATCAACAACAACAACAAAAATCCTATATAATAAAAGCCTACTATGCAAATCAGCAAAATGGGGGAACTACCAGTGGAATGATGGCTTGCTAAGATGCACACTGACCACCAGGGGGCAGACAGGAGCTGCCCCCGGCCTGCAGGCGCCAGGCCAGCCAAGGCAGGTGCCAGCAGGAACCCCCCCCCCACAATCACCCCACTGGTCACCCCACAGATTGGCTCTGATCGCCAGCCAGCCCTAGGAACCCTACCCATGCATGAATTTTGTCCATCAGGCCTCTAGTCTATACATGTAAAAGCCCAGCGACAATTCTGGCGGAAGGACCAGAATGACCAGTCAACCAGTTGCTAGGACGCGCACTGACCACCAGGGGGCAGATGCTCAATGCAGGAGCTGCCCCCTCCCTTCCCCCAAATGGTCAGTGGGCTCCCACAGCGGGAGCAGCCACTCAGGGCGGGTCCACAGCCACTCCGCTGACTGGGATGAGTGGTACTCCCACAGTGGGCTGATTCCCACAGGCCACGCCCCCCAACAGTGCACGAATCCATGCACCGGGCCTCTAGTACCGTGTTTCCCCGAAAATAAGACATCCTCCGAAAATAAGACCCACTTACAGGTTTCCTTCTGAGTGAAATAGAAGGCATCCCCCCGAAAATAAGCCCCCCCCCCAGGCTAACCATGAGAGATTTGGTCCACTGATTCTGAAAGAAATGGAGTCACAAGAAATTCACCAGGAAGTTCAGGAATTGGATTGTTAGGATAACGTTCCAGAAGAGGACGACATGATTGTCACTGAATAAATGAGTACATTCTTGATGCTGTAGGATTCCCAGTGTGTCTGGTTTGTGTTGACAATGATCGTACTACCGTACCATATACAGGGAATAAATATCCTTTATTTTCATTTAACAATAAGTGTGCACTGTATTCTTCTTCATGGAAAAATAAGACATCCCCTGAAAATAAGACCTAGTGCATCTTTGGGAACAAAAATTAATAGAAGACACTGTCTTATTTTTGGGGAAACAGGGTACATAATATCTTAGAAAGCAGCAGCTGAGCCAAAACCAGTTTGGCTCAGTGAATAGAGCATCGGCCTGTGGACTGAAAGGTCCCGGGTTCGATTCTGGTTAAGGGCAAGTACCTTGGTTGCGGGCACATCCCCAGTAGGGGGTGTGCAAGAGGCAGCTGATCGGTGATTCTCTCTCATCGATGTTTCTAACTCTCTATCCCTCTCTCTTCCTCTCTGTAAAAAATCGATAAAAAGATATAGATATAGATATAGATATAGATATAGATATAGATATAGATAAAGATATAGATATAGATATAGGTATAGGTATAGACATAGACATAGACATAGACATAGACATAGACATAGACATAGGTATAGACATAGACATAGACATAGACATAGACATAGCTATAGCTATAGCTATAGCTATAGCTATAGCTATAGATATAGATACAGAGACAGAGACAGATATAGATATAGCTATAGATAGAGATAGATATATAGATATAGAAATAGATATAGATATAGATATAGAGATAGAGACAGAGACAGAGACAGATACAGACACAGACACAGACACAGACACAGATATAGAGACAGAGACAGAGACAGAGACAGATACAGATACAGATACAGATAGATACAGATACAGATACAGATACAGATACAGATACAGATATAGATATAGATATAGATATAGATACAGATACAGAGACAGAGACAGATACAGATATAGATATAGATACAGATATAGATTCAGATATATAGATATAGATATAGATATAGATATAGATATAGATATAGATATAGATACAGATACAGATATATTGGGTCGGCAAGTAAGTAATTGCGGGTTTCACACATATATGGCTTCAGTTGAATTTTTAGGTTTGCAGACGTAGTAAAAATGTAAAACATATTTTGTTATTTGATAGTTGGCTATTCAGCTGTTAATCAGTAAAAAAAGTTTTTTTGATCTGTTTTGTAGTTTTCGTTTGGCGTTCGTTGAAAAATGGAAAATCAAAAGGAACATTTTCGTCATATTTTGATTTTTTACTTCCACAAAGGGAAAAACGCATCGCAAGCTCATAAAAAGTTATGTGCTGTTTATGGTGACGAAGCCTTAAAAGAACGGCAGTGTCAAAATTGGTTTGCCAAATTTCGTTCTGGTGATTTTTCACTCAAAGATGAAAAACGCTCTGGTTGTCCAGTTGAAGTTGATGACGCCCTAATCAAAGCAATAATCAATTCGGACTGTCACAGTACAACACGTGAGATTGCAGAGAAGCTTCATGTATCACATACATGCATTGAAAATCACTTAAAACAACTTGGCTATGTTCAAAAACTCGATACATGGGTTCCTCACGAACTGAAAGAATCACAGTTAACGCAACACATTAGCAGCTGCGATTTGCTAAAGAAACGTAATGAAAATGATCCATTTTTAAAACGACTGATAACTGGCGATGAAAAATGGGTTGTTTACAACAATATCAAGCGGAAAAGATCGTGGAGCAGGCCAGGTGAACCAACTCAAACAACATCAAAAGCTGATATTCATCAAAAGAAGGTTTTGTTATCAGTTTGGTGGGATTACAAAGGAATTGTCTACTTTGAACTCTTACCACCCAACCGAACGATCAATTCTGATGTCTACATCGAACAACTAATGAAATTAAACAATGCAGTTGAAGAAAAGCGGCCCAAATTGACAAATCGAAAAGGTGTTGTGTTCCATCATGACAATGCAAGGCCACACACATCTTTGGTCACTCGGCAAAAATTAATGGAGCTTGGTTGGGATGTTTTGCCACATCCACCATATAGTCCTGACCTTGCACCATCTGATTACTTTTTGTTTCGATCTTTACAAAACTCCTTGAATGGTAAAAATTTCAATAATGATGATGATGTCAAATCGTACCTGATTCAGTTTTTTGCTAATAAAAACCAGAAGTTTTTTGAACGTGGGATTATGATGCTGCCTGAAAGATGGCAAAAGGTCATTGATCAAAATGGGCAATACATTATAGAATAAAGTTATTTAGTTCCATGAAAAAATTGTCTTCGATTTTCTTTAAAAAATCCGCAATTACTTACTTGCCGACCCAATAGATAGAAAGCAGCAGCTGAGAGCCACACTCACCAGATCATCCCCTGGTTGTAGATCAGATGCAGCACGTTCTCGGCGATCTTGAACTCGCCGTATTCAGGCTGCGGAGATAACGGGCTTCTGTGAACCACGCCCCGCTCCCGCAGGAAGCGGCTCCCACAGAGAGATAGCTCTGCTCCCCGGAGGCTCGGCCCTGCACCCCGTCCCCCTCCCCTGCCTCAGGCCTCCCCTCTGGGCCACCCTGGCTCCAGGCCACGCCCGGGAGGCCCGGTCCAGCCCCTCCCCACGCCCCGGGGGGCCGCGTCTCCTCCTCACAAACTTGCGCTCCAGGTCCCAGCACCAGTAGTCGCTGAGGTAGCGGACGAAGAGGCCGCGGAAGAAGTCGATGAGCAGCACGCTGGCCACGGTGAAGAGCATGTCGATGATGGACAGCTTGAGCATCTCCTGGGAGCGGGGGGAGGGGGGCGGCTCAGGGAGCGCCGTGTCCCGGGCCACCCCGCCGGGCCTGCCGCCCCTCCCTCCCCTCCCTCCCCGTGGCTGCAGACCGGGCCTCCGGTCCACCCGGCCCGCGTGGGGCTCAGCACGGTCCACGTGACCTGGACTTCCCAGGCCAGCGGGACAGGGACACGGGGGTCTGAGCGCAGGAGCCCACTGCTCGGGGCCCTGACTCTGCAGGCAGTTAGTGTGGGGGACCGGGCGGGGCACAGGAGGCGGGGCACAGGGGGCGGGGCACAGGGGGCGGGGCACAGGGGGCGGGGCACAGGGGGCGGGGCACAGGGGGCAGGGTACAGGGGTGGGCGGGGCACAGGGGGCAGGGGGCAGGGGGCAGGGTACAGGGGTGGGCGGGGCACAGGGGTGGGCAGGGCATGGGAGGGCGGGGCACAGTGGTGGGCAGGGCATGGGGTGGGCGGGTCACAGGGGCAGAAAGGGCACAGGGGGAGGGGCAAGGGGTGGGCGGGGTGCAGGGGTGGGCGGGGCACAGGGGCGGAAAGGGCACAGGGGGCCGGGCACAGGGGTGGGCGGGGCACAGGGGTGGGCGGGGCACAGGGTGGGTGGGGCACAAGGTAGGCAGAGAATGGGGTGCGCGGGGCACAGGGGCGGAAAGGGCACAGGGGTGGGCGGGGCGCAGGGTGGGTGGGGCACAAGGTAGGCAGAGAATGGGGTGGGCGGGGCACAGGGGTGGGTGGAAAGGGCACAGGGGCGGAAAGGGCACAGGGGGCCTGGCACAGGGGTGGGCGGGGCACAGTGATGGGCGGGGCACAGGGGTGGGCGGGGCGCAGGGTGGGTGGGGCACAAGGTAGGCAGAGAATGGGGTGGGCGGGGCACAGGGGTGGAGCAGTGCCTGGCAGGGCCTGCACACTCCGTGCCTCAGTTTCCTCCTCGGCACCCACAGGACGGTGACCACAGGAGCTGAGGAGGACAAGCCCTGGGAACAGGGCCCAGCGCCCAGGCCACGCCGCACCGGCCTGATTTCCTTATCAATATTCTCTGATTGATTTCAGAGAGGAAGCGGGAGAGAGGGAGGGAGGGAGACACATCCGCGATGAGAGAGAATCACGGATTGACGACGGGCTGCCTCCCGCACGCCCCCCACTCGTGGGATGGAGCCCGCCACCTGGGCAGGTGCGTGCCCTGGCAGGGAATCGAACCCGGGACCCTCCAGTCCACAGGCCGAGCTCTACCCGCTGAGCCACACCGGCCGGGGCTCCCTGAGGCAGGGTGGGACAGGCAGGCCCTACGCGGACGCCCAACCTCCCTTTCTCTCCTGTGAGACGGGGTGCTGGCACCAGAGCTGCGGTGGGTGCGGAGGGCCCGGGGCCCAGGGGCACGCACCTGCCCCACGTAGGTCTCCCAGCACTGGTCCTGCAGGCTCGGGGGGCTGGCCGTCCCGTTGGCCGCCGGGGGCGCGGGGGCGGGCGTGGGGGCGCCGGCCGGCCCCAGGGCCCAGGAGCTGTTCCTCCCGGGGGCCCCGGGCCAGTGGGTCCCGTTCCCGCTGCTGGTGGTGGCAGCTTCCTGTGGGGACGGGGACGGGGACGGGGACGGGGACGGGGACGGGGACGGGACGGGGACGGGCAGGAAGGGAAGGGGTGTCCACACGTTTGCGAGAAGCCCTCCTCATTGCATGGCTCAGGGGCCAGCTCTTCTGTCCCCCCGTCCTTCTGTCCCCGTCTCTGTCTCTGTCCCCGTCCCTCTGTCCTCCTGTCCCTCTGTCCCCATCCCTCTGTCCCCCTGTCCTTCTGTCCCCGTCTCTGTCTCTCTGTCCCCATCCCTCTGTCCTCCTGTCCCTCTGTCCCCATCCCTCTGTCCCCCTGTCCCCCTGTCCTTCTGTCCCCGTCTCTGTCTCTCTGTCCCCGTCCCTCTGTCCTCCTGTCCCTCTGTCCCCATCCCTCTGTCCACCTGTCCCCCTGTCCTTCTGTCCCCGTCTCTGTCTCTCTGTCCCCGTCCCTCTGTCCTCCTGTCCCTCTGTCCCCATCCCTCTGTCCCCCTGTCCTCCTGTCCTTCTGTCCCCGTCTCTGTCTCTCTGTCCCCATCCCTCTGTCCCCCTGTCCCTCTGTCCCCATCCCTCTGTCCCCCTGTCCTTCTGTCCCCGTCTCTGTCTCTCTGTCCCCGTCCCTCTGTCCTCCTGTCCCTCTGTCCCCATCCCTCTGTCCCCCTGTCCTTCTGTCCCTGTCTCTGTCTCTCTGTCCTTGTCCCTCTGTCCTCCTGTCTCTCTGTCCCAGTCCCTCTGTCTGTCTCCCTGTCCCTCTGTATCCCTGTCCTTCTGTCCCCATCTCTGTCTCTCTGTCCTTGTCCCTCTGTCCTCCTTTCTCTCTGTCCCAGTCCCTCTGTCCCCATTTCTGTCTCTCTGTCCCCATCCCTCTGTCCTCCTGTCTGTCTGTGTGTGTGTGTGTTATCTATCTGTATATCTGTCTGTATCTAACTGTGTATCTGTGAGTGTCTGTGTCTATATGTCTGTGTGTACATCTGTGTATCTGCATGTATACCTATGTGTATATCTGTCTGTGTATCTGTGTGTATATATGTGTCTGTATGTACATCTGCGTATCTCTGTGTATATATGTGTCTGTGTGTATGTATGAGTCTGTGTGTACATCCGTGTATCTCTGTGTATATCTATGTGTATATCTGTGTATCTGCATGTATACATGTGTCTGTGTGTATATTTGTGTGTCTCTGTGTATATATGTGTCTGTGTGTATATCTGTGTGTCTGTGTGTATATCTATGTGTATATCTGTCTGTGTGTCTGTGTATCTGTGTGTATATCTATGTGTATATCTGTCTCTGTGTCTGTGTATACATCTGTGTATCTGTGTGTATATCTATGTGTATATCTGTCTGTGTGTCTGTGTATATATCTGTGTATATCTGTCTGTGTGTCTCTGTGTGTGTATGTGTCTGTGTGTATATCTGTATATCTGTGTATATCTGTCTGTGTGTCTGTGTATCTGTGTGTATATCTGTGTATCTGTGTGTATATCTGTGTGTATATCTGTCTCTGTGTCTGTGTATACATCTGTGTATCTGTGTGTATATCTATGTGTATATCTGTCTGTGTGTCTGTGTATATATCTGTGTATATCTGTCTGTGTGTCTCTGTGTGTGTATGTGTCTGTGTGTATATCTGTATATCTGTGTATATCTGTCTGTGTGTCTGTGTATCTGTGTGTATATCTGTGTATCTGTGTGTATATCTGTGTGTCTGTGTGTATATCTATGTGTATATCTGTCTGTGTGTCTGTGTATCTGTGTGTATATCTATGTGTATATCTGTCTGTGTGTCTGTGTGTATATCTGTGTGTCTGTGTGTATGTCTGTGTATATCTGTCTGTGTGTCTCTGTGTGTGCTTGTGTCTGTGTGTATATCTGTATATCTGTGTATATCTGTCTGTGTGTCTCTGTGTGTGCTTGTGTCTGTGTGTATATCTGTGTATCTGTGTGTATATCTGTGTATCTGTGTGTGTATCTGTGTATCTGTGTGTATATCTATGTGTATATCTGTCTCTGTGTCTGTGTGTACATCTGTGTATCTGTGTGTACATCCATGTGTATATCTGTCTGTGTGTCTGTGTATCTGTGTGTATATCTGTGTGTCTGTGTGTATATCTGTGTATATCTGTCTGTGTGTCTCTGTGTGTGTATATCTGTGTGTCTGTGTGTCTATCTGTCTGTGTGTCTCTGTGTGTGTATATCTGTATATCTGTGTATATCTGTCTGTGTGTCTGTGTATCTGTGTGTACATCTGTGTATCTGTGTGTACATCTATGTGTATATCTGTCTGTGTGTCTCTGTGTGTGCTTGTGTCTGTGTATATCTGTGTATCTGTGTGTACATCTATGTGTATATCTGTCTGTGTGTCTCTGTGTGTGTATATCTGTATATCTGTGTATATCTGTCTGTGTGTCTCTGTGTGTGCTTGTGTCTGTGTGTATATCTATGTGTATATCTGTCTCTGTGTCTATGTGTACATCTGTGTATCTGTGTGTACATCTATGTGTATATCTGTCTGTGTGTCTCTGTGTGTGTATATCTGTATATCTGTGTATATCTGTCTGTGTGCCTGTGTATATATCTGTGTATATCTGTCTGTGTGTCTGTGTATCTGTGTGTATATCTGTGTATCTGTGTATATCTGTCTGTGTGTCTCTGTGTGTGCTTGTGTCTGTGTATATCTGTGTGTCTGTGTGTATATCTGTCTGTGTGTCTCTGTGTGTGTATATCTGTGTGTCTGTGTGTACATCTGTCTGTGTGTCTCTGTGTGTGCTTGTGTCTGTGTATATCTGTGTGTCTGTGTGTATATCTGTCTGTGTGTCTCTGTCTGTGTATATCTGTGTGTCTGTGTGTATATCTGTCTGTGTGTCTCTGTGTGTGCTTGTGTCTGTGTATATCTGTGTGTCTGTGTGTATATCTGTCTGTGTGTCTCTGTGTGTGCTTGTGTCTGTGTATATCTGTGTGTCTGTGTGTATATCTGTCTGTGTGTCTCTGTGTGTGCTTGTGTCTGTGTGTATATCTGTGTATCTGTGTATATCTGTCTGTGTGTCTCTGTGTGTGCTTGTGTCTGTGTGTATATCTGTATATCTGTGTATATCTGTCTGTGTGTCTCTGTGTGTGCTTGTGTCTGTGTGTATATCTGTGTATCTGTGTGTATATCTGTGTATCTCTGTGTATATCTGTGTATCTGTGTGTATATCTATGTGTATATCTGTCTCTGTGTCTGTGTGTACATCTGTGTATCTGTGTGTACATCTATGTGTATATCTGTCTGTGTGTCTCTGTGTGTGTATATCTGTATATCTGTGTATATCTGTCTGTGTGCCTGTGTATATATCTGTGTATATCTGTCTGTGTGTCTGTGTATCTGTGTGTATATCTGTATATCTGTGTATATCTGTCTGTGTGTCTCTGTGTGTGCTTGTGTCTGTGTATATCTGTGTATATCTGTCTGTGTGTCTCTGTGTGTGCTTGTGTCTGTGTATATCTGTGTGTCTGTGTGTCCGTCCGTCTGTCTGTGCGTGGCGTGGCTGGGAGCCGTGGGGGCACTCACCTCGGTGCTCATGCTGTTGACCTTGTCCAGGAGGGCGATGATGAGGCTGTACAGGTTGCCCAGGTACAGCACCAGCACCCTGAGGGGCGAGGCCCGTGAGAGAGGGCACCCTGACACTCACGTCCCAGACCTCCCCCTGGGGGCGCCCCGTCCTCACTGAGCCTCACACACAGGGGAGCTGAGGTCGGGCCGGCACTGCTCCAAGGTGAGTGTAGACCCTCCCTGCACCTGTCACTCGTCTGGTTTAAAGCGGTTTTATTGGCCCCGGCTGGTGTGGCTCAGTGGATGGAGCCGAGCCAGCGACTCAAGGGTCGTGGGTTCGATTCCCGATCAGGGCATATGCCCGGGTTGCAGGCTCAATCCCTAGTGCGGGGCCTGCAGGACGCAGCCGATCAGTGATTCTCTCTCATCACTGATGTTTCTCTCTCTCCTTCTCCTTTCCTCACGGAGATCAACACCAGTATTTTTTTTTTTTTTTTACATATATTTTATTGATTTTCCACAGAGAGGAAGGGAGAGGGATAGAGAGTTAGAAACATCGATGAGAGAAAATCATCGATCAGATGCCTCCTGCACACCCCCCACTGGGGATGTGCCCGCAACCAAGGTACGTGCCCTTGACCGGAATCGAACCCGGGACCCTTCTGTCCACAGGCCGACGCTCTATCCACTGAGCCACACCGGTTTCAGCTCCCTCTATATCTTCTCCCTCTTCTCTCCTCCCCGCTCCTTCTCTCTCTCTCTCTTTCTCTCTCTCCCCCCTGCTTCTCCCTCCTCCTCCTCCCCTTCTCTCCTTTACATCCTGCTCATCTTGGATGCATCACAGGGAAGCTCTGCTAAGTTCTTTTATTTTTAATATATATATATATTTTTATTGACTTTAGAGAGGAAGGGCGAGGAAGAGGGAGAGAGAGAAACATCCATGAGGAGAGAGAATCATGGACCAGCTGCCTCCTGCACGCCCCCCACTGGGGATGGAGCCCATAATCCGGGCATGAGGCCTGACGGGGAATCAAACCGTGACCTCCTGGTTCCTAGGTCAACGCTAAACCGCGGAGCCACGCCGGCTGGCGGGCTGAGCTAAGTCTGGGGGACCGGGGGGGGGGGGGGGGGGAAGCAGCCTTGGCTCAAGGGACTGGGATTTCCCCCGGAGGACACAGACGGGGACCCACACCCGGCGCCGCCCGCAGGCACCCACCTGGCCAGCTGGAAGCGCAGTGTGGTCCGCGGGTGGTACATCTCCAGGGCAGAAATGAGGTCGAAGGCCGAGGGCGCGATCATGGTCACCAGGGAGACCACCACGCTCACCTGCGAGGACAGGGCGTGTGTGGGCGAGGGCCCCTTCCCCCTCTCCCCTCCCCCCCTCCCCCTCCTCTCCCGCCGCTGTCATCTGCCCTCAGCCCTGCCTGGGGCCAGGCGGCTTTTACCCCCGGAAGCTCTGCTAGTTAGCTTTTTTCCTATTCTTTTAAAATATATTTTTAGCCCAAACCGGTGTGGCTCAGTGGATGGAGCGTCGGCTTGCAGACTGAGGGGTCCCAGGTTTGATTCCCGTCAAAGGCATGGACCTTGGTTGCAGGCACATCCCCAGTAGGGGTTGTGCAAGAGGCAGCTGGTCGGTGATTCTCTCTCATCGATGTTTCCAACTCTCTATCCCTCTCCCTTCCTCTCTGTGAAAAATCAATAAAACATATTTAAAAATAAATAAATAAAATATATTTTTATTGATTTCAGAGACGAAGGGAGAGGGAGAGAGAGAAACATCCGTGATGAGAGAGAATCATGGATCGGCTGCCTCCTGCACGCCCCACACTGGTATCGAGCTCGCAACCCAGGCGTGTGCCCTGAGCAGGAATCGAACCCGAATGCCAGCGCTGTACCCACTGAGCCACACCGGCCAGGGCTGCCACTTAGCTTTTTTGCAAAAGGCCACAGGGAGGCGCCACGGCTTCGGCCGTCTGGGGACTGTGCTTACACTGACCCTTCCCCCCTCCACACACACACCCACACACACACACACACACACTTCGGACTGGGAGGTGCCTGCAACCAAGGTGCATGCCCTTGACCGGACTGGTACCCGGCTCCCTTCAGTCTATAGGCTGATGCTCTGTCCACAGAGCCACGCTGGTGAGGGCCATGAAGGTGTTTTATTGTTGTCAATCCTCACCTGAGGATATTTTCCTATTGATTTTTTTAGAGAGAGATGGGAGAGAGGAGAGACAGAGAGAGAAACATCGACGGAGAGAGACACGCTGATGGGTTGCCTCCTGCATGTGCCCTGATTAGGGAGCGCCCAGGCTGGGAAGGAGCCTGCCACCGGGGTCCATGCCCTTGACCCGAATCGAACCCACCCGGGTCCTTTCGGTCCACAGGCCGACGCTCTACCCACTGAGCAACACCGGCCGGGGCGCAAGGCAATTTTGAACGAACATCTTCCCGACGGAGACCCAGGAGACACTCCGGCCGTGCCCACGGCCCGGCCCGGCTCCCGCTCTGGGACTAGAGGCATCCCCGTGCCCCAGGGAAGGCACCCAGGAAAGCGGGGGGCACCCTGGTACCTCGTTCTTCTCCCAGAGTGTCAGCTCCTTCTTGGACTGCTCCAGCCGCTGCGACCGCTCCACCACGAAGTAGATGAGGTAGATGCTCCCGGCCAGCGACAGCAGCACCAGCACATTGGCCACGGCCCGCAGACAGACGGTCACCGCCCTGCGCGGAGGAGGAGGCGGCGGCGGGCGTGAGCAGGTGCGTCTGTCTGTCTGTCTGTCTGTCCCCGGGGACCTGCCTTCTCCCGGGACGGCCCCACCTCCCAACGTGGCCCCCCAGAACCTCGAGAAGAACCCCAGATCTGAGACGTCGCCCCGAAAGGCACGTCAACAAGAGTCTGGTACCCGGACGCCCTGGCTGGGGTGGCTCAGTGGGTAGAGCATCGGCCTGCGGACCGAAGGGGTCCCAGGTTCGATGTCTGGCCAAGGGCGCAGGCCCAGGTGGTGGGCTCGATCCCCAGGAGGGGACATGGAGGAGGCAGCCGATCTTTATCTCCTCATGGATATTCCTCTCTCTCTCCTTCTCTCTGAATTCAACAAAAGCCTGTAATAGTAAAAGCGTAATGTACTAATTAGACAGCCGAACAACCTTCTGAGATGTCCTTCTGGATGGGGCAGAGGTGGTTAGGGGCAATCAGGCAGGCAGGCAAGTGATTAGGGGCAATCAGACAGGCCGGCAGTCATTAGGGGCGATCAGGCAGGCAGGTGAGCAGTTAGGGGCGATCAGGCAGGCAGGCAGGCAAGTGGTTAGGAGCCAGCAGTCCCAGACTGCAAGAGGGTGCAGGCCGGCTGATGGACCCATCCCCCTGTGCAAAAATTTCGTGCACTGGGTCTCTAGTATCCTATATAATAAAGAGGTAATATGCAAATTGGTGATCACTCCAACACACAAGTGGACACAAGATGGCTGCTACAAGATGGCTGGCAGGGGAGGGCATTTGTGGGTGATCAGGCCTGCAGGGGAGGGCAGTTAGGGGTGATAAGGCTGGCAAGGGAGGGCAGTTAGGGGTGACTAGGCTGGCAGGGGAGGGCAGTTAGGGGTGACTAGGCTGGCAGGGGAGGGCAGGCAGGAAAGGGCAGTTAGGGGTGATAAGGCTGGCAAGGGAGGGCAGTTAGGGGTGACTAGGCGGACAGGGGACGGCAGTTAGAGGTGACTAGGCAGGCAGGGGAGGGCAGTTAGGGGTGACTAGGCAGGCAGGGGAGGGCAGTTAGGGGTGATAAGGCTAGTAGGGAGGGCAGTTAGGGGTGATAAGGCTGGTAGGGAGGGCAGTTAGGGGTGACTAGGCGGGCAGGGGAGGGCAGTTAGGGGTGATAAGGCGGGCAGGGGAGGGCAGTCAGGGGTGACTAGGCGGGCAGGGGAGGGCAGTCAGGGGTGACTAGGCGGGCAGTGGAGGGCAGTTAGGGGTGACTAGGCGGGCAGGGGAGGGCAGTTAGGGGTGACTAGGCCTGCAGGGGAGGGCAGTTAGGGGTGACTAGGCGGGCAGGGGAGGGCAGTCAGGGGTGACTAGGCGGGCAGGGGAGGGCAGTTAGGGGTGATAAGGCTGGCAGGGGAGGGCAGTTAGGGGTGATAAGGCTGGAAGGGAGGGCAGTTAGGGGTGATAAGGCTGGTAGGGAGGGCAGTTAGGGGTGACTAGGCGGGCAGGGGAGGGCAGTCAGGGGTGACTAGGCAGGCAGGGGAGGGCAGTTAGGGGTGACTAGGCGGGCAGGGGAGGGCAGTCAGGGGTGACTAGGCGGGCAGGGGAGGGCAGTCAGGGGTGACTAGGCGGGCAGGGGAGGGCAGTCAGGGGTGACTAGGCGGGCAGGGGAGTGGTTAGGGGTGACTAGGCGGGCAGGGGAGGGCAGTTAGGGGCAATCGGGCCAGCAGGGGAGCCATTAGGTGTGGATCAGGCCTGGGCACCTACAGGTTCTTGCTTTTCTTCTTTTCCTGTTCTTCCAAGATTGCCTCCTGCAGGGAGAGACCCATAAAGCGTCTTAACTGTAAACCTTGACATGTGTTCCGTGATCGGGAATGTTTTAGTGCAAGCATGTCACACTCGCAGCCCATGGACTGCATGCGGCCCACCATGAATAAATATTCTGTATGTGAAAAACGCTCTAGTAAAAATGTCGTAACTGCCGGGACCGGTGTGGCTCAGCGGACAGAGCGTCGGCCTGCGGACGGAAAGGTCCCGGGTTCGATTCCGGTCAAGGGCATGTGCCTTGGTTGCGGGCACATCCCCATTGAGGGGTGTGCAAGAGGCAGCTGGTTGATGTCTCTCTCTCATCGATGTTTCTAACTCTCTATCCCTCTCTCTTCCTCTCTGTGAAAAATCAATAAAAAATATATTTTTTTAAATGTCGTAACTTAATTTTTACAATATCCTATTAGGAGCATAGTGGTTAGGGGCAACCCTATCTAATAAAAAGGGATATGCAGCCTAAACCGGTTTGGCTCAGTGGATAGAGCATCGGTCTGCGGACTGAAAGGTCCTGGGTTCGATTCCGGTCAAGGGCATGTACATTGGTTGCGGGCACATCCCCAGTAGGGGGTGTGCAAGAGGCAACTGGCGGATGTTTCTCTCTCATCGACGTTTCTAGCTCTCTATCTCTCTCCCTTCCTCTCTGTAAAAAAATCAATAAAATATATATATTTTTAAAAAAGATATGCAAATTGACCATCACGCCACAACACAAGATGGCTTTGACCATAGGGGAGGCTGAGTTCCCAAAGGGCCTTAATGAGCAATCAGCAGGGACCTAAGGCTTCATGGCACTGGGCTGGGGCAAGGGAGTTCAGGCTGCACCCCCTGCCCTGGCACTGGGCCAGGCGACCTGAGGCTGTGCCCCCCACCCAGAGGGGCTTGATGGGGGCGGGGCCAACCGAGTCTGGGTCTAATCCAATGGGAGTGGGGCCAGCTGGGCCCGAGGGGTCTCACGCGATTTCAAAGCCTGTGTTCACGCTGGTCTGAACAGCAGGGACTCTGTGCCAGGGCCCCCAGCCCTACCCCAGTGGCTGTCGGGTCCGCTCACCCGGATGCTGTTCACGATGGCGGCCGCCTTGCTCTCGGCGGCCTCGGGGTTCCCGATGAGGTAGTCCCAGGCGCAGAACACCCGCCAGCAGAAGGTGTAGTTGTCGCCGGAGGCGCTGGCGAGGCTCAGGCGGGAGTTTTTGGCCATCCTGTCAACGGGACCACAGGTGCCAGGTGCTGCCCCCTGGTGGCAGCCGGAGCATCACCGGGCCCGCCCCACCCGGGGCCCTGGGGACATGGGGACACGGCCCAGGTCTATTGTTGGGTCCCTCTGGGCAGGCACTGAGCCAGCCCGTGTCACCTCGTGCAGCGGTGACTGTGAAATCATTTTTATTTATTTTTTACCTTTTAAAAACTATATATATTTTATTGATTTTTTTACAGAGAGGAAGGGAGAGAGAGTTAGAAACATCGATGAGAGAGAAACATCCATCAGCTGCCTCCTGCACTCCCCCTCCACCCCCACTGCGGATGTGCCCGCAACCAAGGTTCATACCCTTGACGGGAATCGAACCTGGGACCCTTCAGTCTGCAGGCCAGTGCACTATCCACTGAGCCAAACCGGTTTCGACTACCTTTTTTAATTTTTTTTAATTTTTTTTTTTAGCCGTGACCAGTTTAGCTCAATGGATAGAGCGTCGGCTTGGGGACTGAAGGGACCCGGGTTCAATTCCGGCCAAGGGCATGTACCTTGGTTGCGGGCACATCCCCGGTAGGGGGTGTGCAAGAGGCAACTGATCGATGACTCTCTCTCATCGATGTTTCTAACTCTCTATCTCTCTCCCTTCCTCTCTGTACAAAATCAATAAAATATTTTAAAAAAATAAATAAATAAAAATAAATAAATAAAATTTTTAATTGATCTCAGAGAATAAGGGAGAGAGAGAGAGAAACACCCATGACGAGAGAGAATCTTGGATCGGCTGCCCCCTGCACGCCCCACACTGGGAATGGAGCCCACCAGCCGGGCATGTTCCCTGACTGGGAATCGAACCCTGACCTCCTGGTTCTTAGGTCGACACTCAACCCCTGAGCCTCGCCCAGCGGGACTCCTGTAAATTAAAATTCTTTCCTTTGAGGACATCAGTCTTCCCAGGGCCTCTGCCCTGAGGGTACCCCCCCCCCCCCGTGTCCAACCTGCTAAGTCCCTTTCATTCTGCTCCCTCCGCACCCCACACGGGAGCTGTCCCGGGAGAGCTGGTGGACACGGGCATCGTGCCCGGCCGTGTGGCCCAATGGTTAGGCGCCCCCCTGGGACCCTGTGGGTCAGGGTTTGCTTCCGGGTCAGGGCTGGATCCCCAGCAGGGGGCGCGCAGGAGGCAGCCCAGCGGGGATTCTCTCTCCTCGTGGATGTTTCTCTCCCCCCCTCTCCCTTCCTCTCAGGAGTCCAGGCACACGTCCCGCTGGGTGTCACCGGATGGGACGTGGGGGGCCGCACGGTCAGGGCGGGCGGCGGGGAAGGGGACGGCGTACTTTCTGAGGAGCACCAGGAAGCTGTAGGCGAACACGGCCATCCCCACCAGGAAGTAGGCCAGCGGCAGCCGGTAGCCCGCTCTCCCGATGCGCCGCTCCCGGCCGTAGAAGCCGTAGAAGAGGACGGAGGACTGGAGGTAGCCCTGTGGGGCCGCACCGCACCTGTCAGCCCGGCGAGCCCGGAGCCGGCTGGTCCAACCCCACCCACCACCACCACCACCATCACCACCACCTTCATCACCACCACCACCATCACCACCATCACCATCACCGCCATCACCACCACCTTCATCACACTGCCACCACCATCACCGCCATCACCATCACCATCACCGCCATCACCACCATCACCACCACCTTCCTCACCACTGCCACCACCACCACCATCACCATCACTGCCATCACCACCACCATCACCATCACCGCCATCACCACCACCGCCATCACCACTGCCACCACCATCACCGCCATCACCATCATCATCACCACTGTCACCACCATCACCACCATCACCACCACCTTCATCACCACCACCACCACCATCACCACCATCACCATCACCATCACCGCCATCACCACCACCACCATCACCATCACCACCACCACCATCACCATCACCACCATCACCATCACCATCACCGCCATCACCATCACCATCACCGCCATCACCACCACCTTCATCACCATCACCACCATCACCACCACCTTCCTCACCACTGCCACCACCACCACCATCACCATCACCGCCATCACCACCACCATCACCATCACCGCCATCACCACCACCTTCATCACCATCACCACCATCACCACCACCTTCCTCACCACTGCCACCACCACCACCATCACCATCACCGCCATCACCACCACCATCACCATCACCGCCATCACCACCACCGCCATCACCACTGCCACCACCACCACCACCACCACCACCACCATCACCATCACCACCACCACCATCACCATCACCACAATCACCACCACCTTCATCACCACTGCCACCACCACCACCACCACCATCACCATCACCACCACCATCACCACCACCTTCATCACCACTGCCACCACCACCACCGCCATCACCATCACCATCACCGCCATCACCACCACCACCATCACCACCATCACCACCACCTTCCTCACCACCACCTTCATCACCACCGCCACCACCACCACCATCACCATCACCGCCATCACCACCACCTTCCTCACCACTGCCACCACCACCACCATCACCATCACCACCATCACCACCACCACCATCACCACCATCACCACCACCACCATCACCACCACCTTCATCACCACTGCCACCACCACCACCGCCATCACCATCACCATCACCGCCATCACCACCACCACCATCACCATCACCATCACCACCATCACCACCATCACCACCACCACCATCACCACCACCATCACCACCATCACCACCACCTTCATCACCATCATCACCACCATCACCGCCATCACCACCACCGCCATCACCATCACCACCACCACCATCACCACCATCACCACCACCACCATCACCATCACCGCCATCACCACCACCACCATCACCACCACCATCACCACCATCACCACCACCGCCATCACCATCACCACCCTCACCACCACCCTCACCACCACCGCCACCACCACCATCACCACCACCACCATCACCATCACCACCACCGCCATCACCATCACCACCACCGCCATCACCACCACCATCACCATCACCACCATCACTGCCACTGCCATCACCGCCATCACCACCACCACCATCACCACCACCATCACCACCATCACCGCCACGGCCATCACCATCACCACCATCACCACCATCACCACCACCGCCACCGCCATCACCGCCATCACCGCCCTCCGGCCGCCGCTCACCCCCAGGGACCACACGGTGTCCAGGTCCTGGGCGGAGGCGGCCTGCGCCGCGGGGACACTCTTGCTGGCGGTGCTCCCGAAGGGCTGGCCGGCGATGAGCTGGGGAGAGAGGGCGTCACGCAAGAGTACATGGTGTGAGGGGCCGTCATGCAAGAGGACGTCACATGAGGGGACGTCACATGAGGGGACGTCACATGAGAGGGCATGAGGCGAACGGACGTCAGGCAACAGGACATCACATGGGGGACGGCAGGCGAGGGGACGGCAGGCGAGGGGACGGCAGGTGAGGGGACATCACATGAGGGGACGTCAGGCGAGAGGGCGTCACATGAGGTGACGTCACATGAGGGGACGTCAGCAGGCGAGAGGACGTCACATGATGGGACATCAGGCGAGGGGACGTCACATGATGGGACATCAGGCGAGGGGACGTCACATGATGGGACATCAGGCGAGGGGACGTCACATGATGGGACATCAGGCGAGGGGACGTCACATGATGGGACATCAGGGGAGGGGACGTAACATGAGGGGACGTCAGGCGAGAGGACGTCACATGATGGGACGTCAGGCGAGGGGACGTCACATGATGGGACGTCAGGGGAGGGGACGTCACATGATGGGACGTCAGGGGAGGGGACGTCACATGATGGGACATCAGGCGAGGGGACGTCACATGATGGGACATCAGGGGAGGGGACGTCACGCGAGAGGACGTGGCGTGAGAGGACGTTGCCAGAGGACGTAGCGCGAGAGGACGTCACGTGAGGGGTCGTCAGGTGAAGGGAGGTCTCGCGAGATTTCCTGGGGTCAGAGGGGCGGGTTTCCGCCCATCCCTGGCTGACGGGACATGAGCAGCGTGGCCCGGAAGTCCTTCCTGCGGGGTCAGGGCTGCACGCGTTTCCTCTGGGGGGACTGCTGAGGGCCCGGGGCTCCCCGAGGGCTCGGAACGGCCCCCCTGCCTTCCGTTCACCCCCCTCTTAGGATCAAGCTGGGTTGGGAAGGTTGGGTGTGCACAGGGTGTCACCTCCTTGGAGGACTGAGAGCTGGATGCGCTTCGCTTTTACTGAAATGGGAGGGGGCAGAGGAGGGGATCGGCTGGCCGGGGCGGCTCAGTGGGCAGAGCGCGGGCCTGCGGGCCGAAGGGTCCGGGGTTCGAGCCAGGTCCAGGCCCCTGGTCGGCTTAGGGTTAGGAGGCAGCCCATCGATGTGTCTCTTTCCCATCGATGTGTCTCTCTCCCATCGATGTGTCTCTCTGTCTCTCCCTCTCTCTTATCCACGCTCCCTAAAAATCCATGGGAAAATGCCCTGGGGGGAGGATTCACAAAATCAAATTAAATTCATTAAAATGGGCCGAGACCGGTTTGGCTCAGTGGATAGAGCGTCGGCCTGAGGACTGAAGGGTCCCGGGTTCGATTCCGGGCAAGGGCATGGACCTTGGTTGCGGGCACATCCCCAGTAGGGGGTGTGCAAGAGGCAGCTGATCGATGATTCTCTCTCATCGACGTTTCTAACTATATCTCTCTCCCTTCCTCTCTGTACAAAATCAATAAAAAAAAAATATTAAAAAATAAATAAATAAATTCATTAAAATGGGGGTAAAGTCCAGAGAAGAATAGAAGATTGTATGGGGCTGATTCCAGAACCTACGAGCCAGATTCACTGTGTGCGAGCTATGCCCGCTCCTCCCAGGACCCCCCACCCCGGCCCCCCCCCTCCAACCCCACCCCCACCCCCATCGGGAGGGCGAGCGGCTCCGGGTAGGGCTCTCCCGGCTCTTTTATTTATTTTTTTTTTACTTATTTTTCTTATTTTATTTGTTGTTCATCCTCACCCGAGGGTATTTTCGCATTGATTTTTTAGGGCGAGAGGAAGAGAGAGGGAGAGACAGAGACTCACATCGATGGGCTGCCTCTTGCACGCACCCCAACCAGTGCCCAGGCCGGGGACGTGCCCACAACCAAGGTCCATGGCCTTGACCGGAACCGAACCCGGGGCCCTCCGGTCTGCAGGCCGGCGGGCGCTCCACCCACTGAGCCACACCGGCCAGGGCTGTAACGGTTCTTTCTGAACCAATGGCACCCTTTTCTCTCCCCAGAAGCGACACAATTCCTCCGTGTGTCCTGTGTCTTGGTCTCCGTCTTGAGAATTCCCTGGGTTTTTCTAAGGGGCCCTTTTTTCTTCCGAGGAAAGACGAATGATTTCCAGACGGTGCTCACCTCTGGGGCGACGATGAAAGCCCCCGTCATGACGGCCAGCACGACGTTGACCCCAAAGAGCCACCGTAGGAAGATGAAGTAGGAGGCCACGCCCGAGCCAAAGTGACCTGGGGGGGGGGGGAGAGAGAGAGAGAGAGAGAGAGAGAGAGAGAGAGAGCGCGAAGGAGGGAGAGGGAGAGAGAGAGAGGGAGGGAGGAAGAGGGAGAGAGAGCGAGAGAGAGGGAGGGAGAGAGAGAGAGAGAGAGCGAGAGAGAGAGAGAGAGAGAGAGAGAGCACGAGAGAGAGAGGAGAGGGAGGGAGGGATGGGTACGGAGCAGGGGAGAGAATATTGAGGCGAGGCGATATCGAGCTAGCTAAATAGAGTGCTATTTATCTATCCAGCCCTATCCCAGTCACCTCCCCACCCGCCCCCACCCTTCACCAGGTCTGAACGGTGACCTTTATTTTTTTTCTCCCTTTTCCAACTGTCCCCTTTCCTTCCTCTCTGATTGATCTATAGTTTGTGGGGGTTTTTATTTTTATTTTTTTAATATATTTTATTGATTTTTTACAGAGAGGAAGAGAGAGGGATAGAGAGTTAGACACATCCATGAGAGAGAATCATCCATCAGCTGCCTCTTGCATGCCCCCACCTGGGGATGTGCCCGCAACCAAGGTCCATGCCCTTGCCCGGAATCGAACCCGGGACCCCTCAGTCCGCAGGGCGACGCTCTATCCGCTGAGCCACACCGGTTTTGGCATATAGTTTGTGTTTTGTTTTTTTTTTAAATATATATATTTTATTATTTCAGAGAGGAAGGGAGAGGGGAAAACATCCATGAGAGAGAATCATGGATTGGGCTGCCTCCTGCACGCCCTCCCTACTGGGGATGGAGCCCGAAACCTGGGCCTAGGCCCCGACCGGGAATCGAACCCGGGACCCTTCAGTCTGCAGGCCGACGCTCTACCCACTGAGCCACACCGGCCAGGCGCTGCAGTTTTTCACTCCACCCTTCTGGGTCTGTGTGGTGTCCAGGGAATGAGTGCATGGGACACCCGGGTTGCAGTGGGGGGTGGGCCAGCGGGGTCAGCCAGGGTGTGTGTCCCGTGGCCTCCCCACACTCCCCCCCCAGCCCTGCTGCCCGTCCGCCCCGCCCAGCACCCACTCACTCTCGATCTTCTTGATCCTCGTCTCCCAGGGGATGAAGAGCGCCGCGAAGTTACAGGCCAGGCGCGCGGACTTCCGCCAGAGCTGGGGGGAGGGGCGGGGTCAGAGCCGGCCTTCCTCACTCAGGCGATGACCCTGACCTCTGACCTCAGGCGCCCCGGTCCTGCACGGGGGCGGGGCTCCCAGCATCACCTTAGGCCTTTGGTGAGGACTTCACCTTTACGACGCAATTGCTGCCCTGACCGGTGTGGCTCAGTGGGTAGAGCGTCGGCCTTCAGACTCAAGGGTCCCGGGTTCGATTCCGGTCAAGGGCATGTGCCTTGGTTGCGGGCACATCCCCGGTGGGGGGGGTGCAGGAGGCAGCCGGTCGATGTTCCTCTCTCATCGATGTTTCTAGCTCTCTATCCCTCTCCCTTCCTCTCTGTGAAAAAAATCAATAATATATATATATTTTTCTTTTCTTTTCTTTTCTTTTTTTTTTTTAAAGATGCAATTGGCCGAAACCGGTTTGTCTCAGTGGATAGAGCGTCGGCCTGCGGACTGAAAGGTCCCGGGTTCGATTCCGGTCAAGGGCATGTACCCTGGTTGCAGGCACATCCCCAGTAGGGGGTGTGCAAGAGGCAGCTGATTGATGACTCTCTCTCATTGATGTTTCTAGCTCTCTAGCTCTCTCCCTTCCTCGCTGTACAAAAATCAATAAAGTATATTAAAAAAAAAAAAAGATGCAATTGATCAACCGAAGGACTTGTATACATGCCTATAAGTACAACCAATGGACACAAAACTCTGGGGAGGGAGGGCATGTGTAGGAGGGAGGGGGGCAATGGTATATGTACAAAGATAATAATTTAATTAAAAAGAATTTTTTTAAAAAAGATGCAATTGCTGCCCTAACCAGTGTGGCTCAGTGGGTAGAGCGTCGGCCTGCGGACTCACAGGTCCCAGGTTCGATTCCGGTCAAGGGCATGGACCTTGGTTTCGGGCACATCCTCAGTAGGGGTTTTCAGGAGGCAGGTGACAGGTATTTCTAACTCTCTATTCCTTGCCCTTCCTCTCTGTAAAAAAAAAAAATCAATAAAACATATTTTTAAAAAAATATATTTTATTGATTTTGTACAGAGAGGAAGGGAGAGAGAGAGAAAGTTAGAAACATCGATGAGAGAGAATCATCGATCAGCTGCCTCTTGCACACCCCCTACTGGGGATGTGCCCGCAACCAAGGTCCATGCCCTTGCCCGGAATCGAACCCGGGACCCTTCAGTCCTCAAGCCGACGCTCTATCCATTGAGCCAAACCAGCCTCAGCCAATAAAACATTTTTTTTTTAAAAAAAAGATGCAATTGCTAAATGTTTCAAGACGTGTGTTTTTTGTTTGTTTTGAGAATATTTTCCCGTTGTTTTCTAGGGAGTGTGGAAGGGAGGGGGAGAGCCAGAGCGACACAGCGATGTGAGGCAGACACAGCAATGGGTTGCCTCCCGCACAAGTCCTGGCCGGGGGGGGGGGGGGGGGGGGGGGGGGGGGGGGGGGGGGGGGGGGAGCCTGCCACCGAGGCCCATGCCCTTGACCGGGGAATCGAACCCGGGAGACCCTTCGGTCCGCAGGCCCACGCTCTGCCCACTGAGCCACACCGGCCAGGGCTGTATCTTTCTCTTTACGAGAGCTCCTGGCGAGGGAGGACCTTCCCCCCCACCAGGGCGAGGTGGCTGAGTCAGGAGGTGGCGGGATGGGTCTATGGCCACGTGTCAGTGTCCGGGACCGAGGCCGAGGTTCGGTGTCCTTACCTCCGCGCCTGCAGCCTGGTAGCCGCGGGTCCTGGTCAGCCGGCCCTCGAACCGCAGCACGACCTCCTTGGCCCGCCTGCAGGGGGCGACAGACGCGGCCCTGAGCTAAAATACTAAAATACATTAAAGTATTTTCTGAGAGATCAGGCCTGTGGTTATTCAGGGCCTGCAGAAGGCGCAGGGCCCGGCACACGGGCTCTGGCCGGTGTGGCTCAGTGGCTAGAGCGTCGGCCTGCGGACTGAAAGGTCCCGGGTTCGATTCCGGTCAGGGGCATGCACCTTGGTTGCGGGCACATCCCCAGTGCGGGGTGGGGGGGTGCAGGAGGCAGCTGATGGATGTTTCTCTCTCATTGATGTTTCTAGCTCTCTACCCCTCTCTCTTCCTCTCTGTAAAATATATATAGATATATATATATATATATATATATATATATATATATATATATTTATATATTTATATTTATATTTATTTTTTATAAAAAAATACATATATACCGTATTTTTCGGACCATAAGACGCTCCGGACCATAAGACGCACCAGTTTTTAGAGAAGGGAAATGAAGAAAAAAAAAGATTCTGAAACAAATAGTGTCCTAAAATATTTTATGTGCATTAAAACCCAACATCACAGTCATAAACACATGTAATCAACCCTGTAAAGTAAACAGCAGCATTTAGAACCATTTTTAGAGCCGGGCAAGCACACAGAGACCACACAGAGCCGGGCAAGTAAAAAAACTTTTTTTTTTAAAGTATATGTGTAGGCTATATTTGGACCATAAGACGCAGGGACTTTTTCCCCCCACTTCTGGGGGGAAAAAAGTGCGTCTTATGGTCCGAAAAATACGGTGTATGATGTTCTGAGCCCTGGCCAGTGTGGCTCAGTGGATAGAGAATCAGCCTGTGGACCGAAGGCCCCCCCGGGGTTCGATTCCTGGTGTTAATGTAAAACAAAACAAAAACAAAACCATGGAAACCTGTAAAGAATTTCTGTGAGTTTACTGGAGCCCAACTGCGGGCAGCTGCCGGGTATGGGGTTCCCTCTGTGCTCACACGTCGCCATCAGAGGAGGGACGCAGCCGAGGCTGGTGTGGCTCAGTGGGCAGAGCGTCGGCCTGCGGACTGAAGGGTCTCGGGTTCGAGTCTGGTCAAGGGCATGGGGCTTGGTGGCAGGCTCTGCCCTTTCATCCTCGTGCTCAGGGCACAGGCCCGGGTGGCGGGCTCAATCCCCAGTGGGGGGCGTGCAGGAGGCAGCCGATGCAGGATTCTCCCTCCTCATGGATGCTTCTCTCTCTCTCTTCCTCTCCCTTCCTCTCTGAAATCAATAAAAGTATGTGTGTGTGTGTGTGTGTGTATATATATATGTTTTAAGTATTTTCTGAGAGATCAGGCCTGTGGTTATCCAAGATGGAGGGCGGAGGGGGCTATATATATATTTTTTTAATATTTTAAAATATATATTTTATATATATATATTATTGATTTCAGAGAGGAAGGGAGAGAGAGAGAGTTAGAAACATCGATGAAAGAGAAACATCGATCAGCCGCCTCCTGCACAGCCCCCACCGGGGATGTGCCCGCAACCAAGGTCCACGCCCTTGACCGGAATCGAACCCGGGACCTTCCGTCCGCAGGCCGACGCTCTATCCACTGAGCCACACCGGCCTCGGATAGGGGGTGGTGGGTATCTATCTTATACGGACCCAGCAAGGTCTCTGTTCACAGTTTCCCCTTTTCCCTTGAATGGAAGCCACACAGACCACACCGGCTCTCGGGTTCCACTGGGATTTGATTGTGAGGCCATTTCCACGTGTGGGCGCCAGGGGCCCGTGCGGACCTGACGGGGGCCTCGCAGACTCAGAGCCCTGGCGCCCCCACAGGACGGTCTGACATTGAACTGGGACGAGAAGCAGGGAGGGGAGTGGGGGAGGTCCCCTCCCAGGCCGGTGTCTCCCTGACAAGGTGGCCTCTGCCCGCACGGAGCCCGTCTGTCTGTCTGTCTGCCTCTGGGGTCACACCGCCTGGAGAGGCCTGGGTGCCCTGTGCCCCCCTTTTCCCGGGCCC